GGGTTGTCAATGTGGGGAAAAATTGAGCATAATGGTGAAAATACATGATTTTTAAAGAAATTTCTCATGGTTGGGGGTTTCATGACGCCCAAAAAACTCCTCTGGATCCGCCACTGGGTAATTAAAGTTTCTATTATGCTTATGTTGAATTATCGACTGGAGTAAGTATAACCTCAAGCAGAATAAATGCTTGGCGAGGTACATATAGTTCGTGACGATAAATACTATCTATAATTCTGTATGTGATGTTTTCTTTTTTGTTAGGCTTTCAACTTTCAAATTGCACTTTATTTCTAAATAATAATTGTACAGAGACACGCAATTTTACGTTATCATTGCGTTTATGGTATCATGATATCCCAATCCACTCTTTATAAAAGTATTACAGAACATATTCTATAGTTTTATAATGATATCACACTACACATGTTGTATTACAGTACATATTCTATAATGATACCACAATACACACGGTGTATTACAATACACATTCTATAACACAATACACACGGTGTATTACAATACACATTCTATAATGATACCACAATACACTCGGTGTATTACAATACACACTCTATAATGATAACACAATACACATGTTGTATTACAGTACATATTCTATAATGAAACCACAATACACATGTTGTATTACAGTACATATTCTATAATCATAACACACTACACATGTTGTATTACAGTACATATTCTGTAATGATAACACACTACACATGTTGTATTACAGTACATATTCTATAATGAAACCACAATACACATGTTGTATTACAGTACATATTCTATAATCATAACACACTACACATGTTGTATTACAGTACATATTCTATAATGATATCACACTCCACATGTTGTATAACAGTACATATTCTATAATGATACCACAATACATATGTTTTATTACAGTGCAAATTCTATAATGATACCACAATACACATGTTGTATTACAGTGCAAATTCTATAATGATACAACAATACACATGTTTTATTACAGTGCAAATTCTATAATGATACCACAATACATATGTTGTATTACAGTGCAAATTCTATAATGATACAACAATACACATGTTTTATTACAGTGCAAATTCTATAATGATATTCTATAATGATACCACAATACACACGGTGTATTACAGTACATATTCTATAATGAAACCACAATACACATGTTGTATTACAGTACATATACTATAATGATAACACACTACACATGTTGTATTGCAGTGCAAATTCTATAATGATACCACAATACACATGCTGTATTACAATACACATTCTATAATGATACCACAATACACATGCTGTATTACAATACACATTCTATAATGATACCACAATACACTCGGTGTATTACAATTCACATTCTATAATGATAACACAATACACATGTTGTATTACAGTTGTATTACAGTGCAAATTCTATAATGATACCACAATACACATGTTTTATTACAGTGCAAATTCTATAATGATATTCTATAATGATACCACAATACACACGGTGTATTACAATGCACATTCTATAACACAATACACACGGTGTATTACAATACACATTCTATAATGATGCCACAATACACTCGGTGTATTACAATACACACTCTATAATGATAACACAATACACATGTTGTATTACAGTTGTATTACAGTGCAAATTCTATAATGATACCACAATACATATGTTGTATTACAGTGCAAATTCTATAATGATACAACAATACACATGTTTTATTACAGTGCAAATTCTATAATGATACCACAATACACATGTTGTATTACAGTGCAAATTCTATAATGATACCACAATACACATGTTTTATTACAGTGCAAATTCTATAATGATACCACAATACACATGCTGTATTACAATACACATTCTATAATGATACCACAATACCCATGTTGTATTACAGTCCATATTCTATAATGATACCACAATACCCACGGTGTATTAGAGTACATATTATATAAGGCTCCCACAATACACATGTTGTATAACAGTACATATTCTATAATGATAACACAATACACACGGTGTATTACAGTACATATTCTATAATGATCCCACAATACACACGGTGTATTAGAGTACCTATTATATAAGGATACCACAATACAACATGTGTATTGTGGTATCATTACAGTACATATTCTATAATGATACCACAATACACACGGTGTATTAGAGTACATATTATATAAGGATACCACAATACACATGTTGTATTACAGTACATATTCTATAATGATACATAATGATATCACACTACACATGTTGTATTACAGTCCATATTCTATAATGATAACACACTACACATGTTGTATCACAGCACATATTCTATAATGATAACACACTACACATGTTGTATCACAGCACATATTCTATAATGATAACACACTACACATGTTTTATTACAGTACATATTCTATAATGATACCACACTACACATGTTGTATTATAGTGTATATTCTATTATGATAACACACTACACATGTTTTATTATAGTGTATATTCTATTATTACAGTACATATTCTATAATGATAACACCCTACACATGTTGTATTACAATACATATTCTATAATGATACCACAATACACATGTTGTATTACAGTACATATTCTATCATGATACCACACTACACATGTTGTATTATAGTGTATATTCTATTATGATAACACACTACACATGTTTTATTATAGTGTATATTCTATTATTACAGTACATATTCTATAATGATAACACTCTACACATGTTGTATTACAGTACATATTCTAAATGATAACACACTACACATGTTGTATTACAGCACATATTCTATAATGATAACACACTACACATGTTTTATTACAGTACATATTCTATAATGATAACACCCTACACATGTTGTATTACAATACATATTCTATAATGATACCACAATACACATGTTGTATTACAGTACATATTCTATAATAATACCACAATACACATGTTGTATTACAGTACATATCCTATAATGATACCACAATACACACGGTGTATTACAGTACATATTGTATAATGATAACACAATACACATGTTGTATTACAATACATATTCTATAATGATACCACAATACACATGTTGTATTACAGTACATATCCTATAATGATACCACAATACACACGGTGTATTACAGTACATATTATATAAGGATAACACAATACACATGTTGTATTACAGTACATATCCTATAATGATACCACAATACACACGGTGTATTACAGTACATATTATATAAGGATAACACAATACACATGTTGTATTACAGTACATATCCTATAATGATACCACAATACACACGGTGTATTACAGTACATATTATATAAGGATAACACAATACACATGTTGTATTACAGTACATTTTCTATAATGATACCATACTACACATGTTGTATTACAGTACATATTCTAAATGATAACACACTACACATGTTGTATTACAATACATATTCTATAATGATAACACAATACACACGGTGTATTACAGTTCATATTCTATAATGATAACACACTACACATGTTTTATTACAGTACATATTCTATAATGATACCACAATACCCATGTTGTATTACAGTCCATATTCTATAATGATACCACAATACACATGTTGTATTACAGTACATATTCTATCATGATACCACACTACACATGTTGTATTATAGTGTATATTCTATTATGATAACACACTACACATGTTTTATTATAGTGTATATTCTATTATTACAGTACATATTCTATAATGATAACACTCTACACATGTTGTATTACAGTACATATTCTAAATGATAACACACTACACATGTTGTATTACAGCACATATTCTATAATGATATCACACTACACATGTTGATTTACAGTACATATTCTATAATGATAACACACTAAACATGTTGTATTACAAAACATATTCTATAATGATACCACACTACACATGTTGTATTACAGTACATATCCTATAATGATACCACAATACACACGGTGTATTACAGTACATATTCTATAATGATAACACACTACACATGTTGTATTACAGTACATATTCTATAATGATACCACACTACACATGTTGTATTATAGTGTATATTCTATTATGATAACACACTACACATGTTTTATTATAGTGTATATTCTATAATGATACCACAAAACACATGTTGTATAACAGTGTATATTCTATGATACCACAATACACACTATTTTTACTTTTTCACAACACATGTGATAACAGCATTACAATGTAAAGTACAGATGTCCCGTTAAAACATATAGTAATATGTATGCACCTGGGACAGTTGTCTATTTTTTAAATCTCCAAATTGCATGTAATTCAATAATTTTATAACGTTACAGTACATACTTGTATATGTTTGAATTTTAGTATATGTTATATCGTGTTTTACAGTTATAATACATGTACTACTTGAAGGCTTTCATCAGATTGACTTTTGTTTTGATTTACTGTATACACTTCACTCATTCATGCACGAAGAAGGCTAACTATAGAAAACGAGATCCGCCAACATTTTAGTAACGGATCTAGTTACAAAAGATGACACTTTTTTCACGGTGTAAAGTATTAGGTTACAATCACATGTGTCGATCTACCTACACACTCCCATCGTGACTTTATAGGTCACAACGTACGTGTGTAACGTAGGGAGACTTGTTTATGTGTGGCAGGCACGTTAGAAATATATGTACGAAACAATGGCTACAGACTTGAGTTTATTCTTTGCTAGACACAGTATCATCACCGTCCGGAAGAGGCCCGTACTACTGCTGTGTATGGTAATGATGCTGATGTGGACATTTCACTTGTTTGACCACGAGATACCCCAAAACGTTGACAGTGACGTGGAATCCTTTGAAGTCAGAAAGCTATGGGAGTTTGACGCTGGTCCAGAGACGTTTGGACAAGTACAGATGGTTGACGATTCGGTAAAACGTTTTTGGTTTGTTTGGTGTTTTTTGTATTTGTGATATATATATAAATTTGTTCTGTTTTATTACATTAAGTGATTTTTTTTTTGTTTTTTGTAATTCAAAACAATAATACATATGTAGCAGATAAGATAAAAACATATCAATGTTTCACTTCTCGCCCAGGAATATATGGAGACCGTTACTTAATATGGAACAATAGTAAAATAATTAACATATTCTTAAATTACGACTTTGTTACAAAACAATATGATGTTGTACACGGCACGTACATTTATAGATATTTCATAAAATCTTATGGGTTCGACAGCATTTGCATAAATTATATAACACCAGGTGTTCTAGGCATCCCTTTTTTGTATTTGTCAAAATATGATGTTGCATTGTTCTAGTTTGCTATTCAGTCCTTTTAGTTAACCGTGTATGAAAGCTTTCCCTATACTATTGACTACATTATATCAGGTTCGTGACGAAGAAATCTACAGTCTGCCCGTAATTCGTTCACCGAATGGCCATTTTTATTTTTAAGATATTATCTTTTACTCGTGTTGAGACTGGTGTAGTCACGCATTGTTACTTTCAGTACTAATGTTTGATCTGTCCTCTATTCCCACACTTCTGAACATCGGAAATTGTTGATACGAGAAGAGAATGGCCATATGTTGCTTGGCCCACTGATACCTGTTTTCAGTGCATGGCTGATACACCCGTGACACAATAAGTGTGAAACCAGAGTATCTACATTACGGGGCAATATGAGAACAGACTGCCTATATCATACACCCGTGACACAATAAGTATGAAACCAGAGTATCTACATTACGGGGCAATATGAGACAGACTGCCTATATCATACACCCGAAACATACACAACACCATTAACGTAGGTTTCTCCAGAGACGTATAATACGTCTCTGGTTTCATCGTCGTGTGACGTCCCGGTCCATGTAATCCGAAATTAAAATGAGATCCTCGAAAAATCAAAAGGGGTTCCGGAAAGATAAGAGTCGTCTGTTTCATCGACGACACTCGCCATGTGAAACGTGTGAACCAAGTCAAAAGAAAGTAATGATACGTCAACAAATCGACATCTTGGTAGTAACAACACAACAACAAGTGAACTGATACCGAAGGTTTAATATAGCTTACCTAGGTTACATATATCAGTATATCAGAAACACTATTCTGACCTTAGTAATTTTAACGGCTCATACAAGGATTTAGGTGACATGGATATAGGTGACAAGGATTTAGTTGACAAGGATTTTGGTGACATGGATATAGGAGACAAGGATATAGGTGACATTGATTTAGGTGACAAGGATGTAGGTGACATGGATTTAGGTGACAAGGATGTAGGTGACATGGATATAGGAGACAAGGATATAGGTGACATGGATATAGGAGACAAGGATATAGGTGACAAGGATTTAGGTGGCATGGATTTAGGTGACAAGGATTTAGGTGACATGGATATAGGTGACAAGGATATAGGTGACAAGGATATAGGTGACAGTGATTTAGGTGACAAGGATATAGGTGACAGTGATTTAGGTGACAGGGATATAGGTGACAGTGATTTAGGTGACATAGATATAGGTGACAAGGATTTAGGTGGCATGGATTTAGGTGACAAGGATATATGTGACAGTGATTTAGGTGACAGGGATATAAGTGACAGGGATTTAGGTGACATAGATATAGGTGACAAGGATTTAGGTGGCATGGATTTAGGTGGCAAGGATTTAGGTGACAGGGATATAGGTGACAAGGATTTAGGTGACAGGGATATAGGTGACAAGGATTTAGGTGACATGGATATAGGTGGCATGGATTTAGGTGACAAGGATATAGGTGACAGTGATTTAGGTGACAGGGATATAAGTGACAGTGATTTAGGTGACATAGATATAGGTGACAAGGATTTAGGTGACAGGGATATAGGTGACAAGGATTTAGGTGGCATGGATTTAGGTGACAAGTATTTAGGTGACAGGGATATAGGTGACAAGGATTTAGGTGACAGGGATATAGGTGACAAGGATTTAGGTGGCATGGATTTAGGTGACAAGGATATAGGTGACAAGGATTTAGGTGACATGGATATAGGTGACAGTGATTTAGGTGACATAGATATAGGTGGCATGGATTTAGGTGACAAGGATTTAGGTGATAATGAAGATACTCTTGACAAAGGAATTATATTCAACCTCTACTTCAGTAGTAAATATTGGACACTTGTAGTTAGAAATTATTTGATTTTTATTTTCCTCTTGCTATTATCGCTTTTAAATAAAATTGAAGAAGCTTGCAAATTGCTTTTTGTGTTTCAAGTAGATTGGCTTAGCGATAAATCAACTTTTCACACCAAAATGGTCTATAAAGTAACGATACACGTGAAACTTTGATGGAGATGAAGTTATCTTTCAAAGTTTTGGAATATAGCAATTATAATAAAAATTTGACTGGTTTTGAATCCGTCTTGTTTACCTAACAGCTATCGCAGTCCTGTAGCTAACAGTGATTACAGAAGTATGTTGCCTGTCAAGTCACAATAAACAATAGCATTGGATGCCGAGGTTTATTTATGTGATCGTTTTCAATGCCAGGTATCTTATGTTTACCCCATACTTTTCATGCATATTTAGCAACACTTTATACGTTTAAAAAAACCCGACAAATTACTATCATATAACTGCATATCTAAACATGATTTTTCGAGTACTGCTTTTGCGATATTGCAGGGGTTACCGGCTCTCCTCGCTCATCAAACTTGGAATTCTAATAATTAAACTTAATAACTGGGTAACAACATTGATAAATTACTACATTTTGTATTGGCTATATTTCAATTACACAAGCTGTTTTTAAACAAAGGTCCTTTTACTGAGTCATACTTTTTTTGTTTGTTGAATCAGTATTGATACTTAATTTCCACCTGTATGCAAAACTTAACAGTGTATTGAGTATGACCTGGAGATCCGCTTGGCCTCCTGTCAACAGAACTCTGTGACCGCATATACAACTGAACAAAAACCACTATTTTGCAACTCTGTACATCAAACAAATATTTTCGTAGTCATGCACGGCACACCTGAAAACTAATCTGGACGATATTTTCCCTTTTTGTACACACACGTACGTTGTTCAGCACACCAATACGAATGTAAAGTACGTCTTTAGTCGCTTAAAGATATTTTTTAGCCGAAGGTCAGATAATGAAAGTAAACAGCTTCAAACTAAATTCTTAAAAGTACGTTTAATGGCAAAATATTAACATTTGGAAATACAAATAAAAACATACAAGTCCTTTTCCCATCGACATTGAATTCAGCAGCATGCATGTTTGTTTTTTTCCACTGAATGCTTCAGTGCACTGTAGTCATTGATGTGTCGTGATGTTCCGGACATTTCCAAAGCAACTGTACGTAACGTGATGACAGTTAACACCGACTTATTTAAATGTACACGAGCCGACTGAGGGACTCGATCATTATCAATGGACACTAAGTAATGGTTCCAACAGTCGTGTTGTTGACACCCAGGTCTTCTCCTGTTAGTTTTAGCTTAATCGTTGATATTGTTGTATGGTATTTAAAAAGTATCAAATTACAAGTGCATAATAAAGTGTCAAATGTCTACAGAATCACGAAATATCAACGGCTTCTTGATTGGACATTTAAAACTAATCCGTCTTTAGGACAATGTCGCTCTTTCCTCTCCAGTTCCTTTGGGATATATTATATATTACACATAACACACATCACTGGTGGAACTCATTAGGTAAGCTAAGTCTGCTTGATAAAGGAACGGTATCTGATTAAAGTCAAATATAATTGAAAAAGAGTAATTATCACTAGAGGAAAATTCACAAATCAAAGTCCATCAAACGGGACCAAGCAGTATTCAAAACAAAATTAGAATCATTGATGGACAAAACGAATTCCATTGTTGTCTACCCCATGTTAAGGAATTGGATCAGTTGAAAGACGAAGTTAATATTATTTTAACTTTAAATTCAACTTTCAAAAGAGAAAAATTAATATAGAAAATTAATATGAATTGGCCTTACTATCGTCTAATGACCAAATATTTTGGCATGACTTTGACTTCTTGTTAAAATGAGCCTTTAAAATGACGAAGGCGCGCTGACACAACGTATTAAACCTTCGAGATGGTTTATGGTTTTCACTTTGAAGTTAGATCCTTTGCATATATTAAAATCAAGTGTCTAAATGTGAAAAAAAACCGAATAAGTAATAAAACCGGCTTTATCACTATAGTTATATTCACCGAATTAGTAGTAAAACCGGCTTTATCGCTATAATTATATTCACCGAATTAGTAATAAAACCGGCTTTATTACTATAGTTATATTCACCGAATTAGTAATAAAACTGGCTATATTACTATAGTTATATTCATCGAATTAGTAATAAAAACGGTTTTATCACTAAAGTTATATTCACCGAATTAGTAATAATACCGGTTTTATCACTAAAGTTATATTCACCGAATTAGTAATAAAACCGGCTTATCACTATAATTATGTTCAATGATTTTGTGATAAAACCGACTTTATCACTATAATTATGTTCAACGATTTTGTGATAAAACCGACTTTATCACTATAGTAAAATTCACCAAATTAGTAATAAAACCGGCTTTATTACTATAGTTATATTCACCGAATTAGTAATAAAACTGGCTTCATCACTATAATTATGTTCAACGATTTTGTGATAAAATCGGCTTTATCACTGTAGTTATATTCACCGAATTAGTAATAAAACCGGCATATCACTATAGTTATATTCACCAAATTAGTAATAAAATTGGCTTCATCACTATAATTATGTTCAACGATTATGTGATAAAATCGGCTTCATCACTATGGTAGTATTCACCGAATTAGTCATTAAACCGGCTATATTACTATAGTTATATTCACCGAATTAGTAGTAAAACCGGCTTTATCACTATAATTATGTTCAACGATTTTGTAATAAAACCGGATTTATCAACATAGTAGTATTCAACGAAATAGTCATTAAACCGGCTATATTACTATAGTTATAGTCACCGAATTAGTAATAAAACCGGCTTTATCGCTATAATTATATTCACCGAATTAGTAGTAAAACCGGCTTTATCACTATAATTATATTCACCGAATTAGTAATAAAACCGGCTATATCACTATAGTTATATCCACCGAATTAGTAATAATACCGGCTTTATCACTATAGTAATATCCATCGAATAAGTAATAAAACCGGTTTTACCACTAAAGTTATGTTCACCGAATTAGTAATAAAACCGGCTTATCACTATAATTATGTTCAACGATTTTGTGATAAAACCGACTTTATCACTATAGTAGAATTCACCGAATTAGTAATAAAACCGGCTTTATTACTATAGTCATATTCACCGAATTAGAAATAAAACTGGCTTCATCACTACAGTAACTTTCTCAGGTTCCTAGTGTCTGTATCACTATAATCTAATTCGCAAAGTAACTAATAAGTTCTGTGACTTACCTGAAGGTTTCTCGTTAACAACAACTTTTTTATGAACTCACAGATCGTTATGATTCCGGAGAAGTGGCAGCTGGAGGTGCTTGCTTTGCCCAGACTGGCAGAACTATACAAAAGGTGAGTAAAGACTGGCAGAACTATACAAAAGGTGAGTAAAGACTGGCAGAATTATAAAAAGGTGAGTAATGACTGGCAGAGCTATACAAAAGGTGAGTAATGACTGGCAGAACTATACAAAAGGTGAGTAAAGACTGGCAGAACTATACAAAAGGTGAGTAAAGACTGGCAGAACTATACTAAAGGTGAGAAAAGACTGGCAGAACTATACAAAAGGTGAGTAAAGACTGGCAGAACTATACAAAAGGTTAGTAAAGACTCGCAAAACTATACAAAATATGTTTGATGATTGGTAGGGCTATAAAAAAGATGAGTTAATCAAGTGTCAGAAGAGACGATATTCACAGAGTATAAGACCACCAGTTTTAGAAGTGACGATAGAGTATAAGACCACCAATGTCAGAAGAGACGATATTTACAGAGTATAAGACCACCAGTGTCAGAAGAGACGATATCCACAGAGTATAAGACCACCAGTGTTAGAAGAGACGATATCCACAGAGAATAAGATCACCAGTGTTAGAAGAGACGATATGCACAGAGTATAATACCATCAGTGTTAGAAGAGACGATATGCACAGAGTATAAGACCACCAATGTCAGAAGAGACGATATGCACAGAGTATAAGATCACCAGTGTTAGAAGAGACGATATGCACAGAGTATAATACCATCAGTGTTAGAAGAGACGATATGCACAGAGTATAAGATCACCAGTGTTAGAAGAGACGATATCCACAGAGTATAAGATCACCAGTGTCAGTAGAGACGATATGCACAGAGCATAAGACCACCAATGTCAGAAAAGACGATATGCACAGAGTATAAGCCCCCCAATGTCAGAAGAGACGATATGTACAGAGTATAAGACCATCAGTGTCAGAAAAGACAATACCCACAGAGCATAAGACCCCCAGTATTAGAAGAGACGATATGCACAGAGGATAATACCATCAGTGTCAGTAGAGACGATATGCACAGAGTATAAGCTCACCAGTGTCAGTAGAGACGATATGCACAGAGCATAAGACCACCAATGTCAGAAGAGACGATATGCACAGAGTATAAGACCATCAGTGTTAGAAGAGACGATATGCACAGAGTATAATACCATCAGTGTCAGTAGAGACGATATGCACAGAGTATAAGACCACCAATGTCAGAAGAGACGATATCCACAGAGTATAAGATCACCAATGTCAGAAGAGACGATATGCACAGAGTATAAGACCACCAATGTCAGAAGAGACGATATGCACAGAGTATAAGATCACCAGTGTTAGAAGAGACGATATGCACAGAGTATAAGACCACCAGTGTCAGTAGAGACGATATGCACAGAGTATAAGACCACCAATGTCAGAAGAGACGATATGCACAGAGTATAAGACCACCAGTGTCAGAAAAAACAATATCCACAGAGTATAAGACTACCATTGTCAGTAGAGACAATATCCACAGTGTATAAGACTACCATTGTCAGTAGAGACAATATCCAATGTCAGAAGAGACGATATGCACAGAGTATAAGCCCCCCAGTGTCAGAAAAAACAATATCCACAGAGTATAAGACTACCATTGTCAGGAGAGACAATATCCACAGAGTATAAGACTACCATTGTCAGTAGAGACAATATCCACAGAGTATAAGACCACCAGTGTTAGAAGAGACGATATCCACAGAGTATAAGACCATCAGTGTTAGAAGAGACGATATGCACAGAGTATAAGATCACCAGTGTCAGAAAAGACGATATGCACAGAGTATAAGACCATCAGTGTCAGAAAAGACAATATCCACAGAGTATAAGACCATCAGTGTTAGAAGAGACAATGCACAAGTCATATGACCATTGACACCGGGAATGCTCCAATGAGAGAAAAATACCGGGTACAAAATTAAAGATAATGTAAAAAGATTAAAAGGTTTGCAAGGTGACAAACCTTCTAACAGTTTATATCATTTACCTAAAAATGTCAAGGATTCTTTGCGCGATTAATGTCTCAGTGAGCAAGATATAACATATAGGTATTTATACATAATATATACCAAATATACATTTGAACAATGATTGATACCTACACTAAGAGTAACATATCGATGTCACCCTGTAATATGACGTAGACATGTATACGACTAGAATATGATGTATTTCATGATTTTTTTCAGAAACTTGAATAATCTTCAGATATTCTGCCCGGTTAAAACAGTCTTTGGTGGAACTCACGATGGCTGGACCGTGTGTTCAACGGAACAACAGAACAAGTGTGTCGTCTATCTGATCACGTGAGTACAGTATCGTACGGGATGAATATTGTGTCACTTGTGACGTCATCGCACGTGATTATTTATCAATTGATGGTATAATTGATAATATAGTAATTAACTATGCAATACAAAACGAAGTCAGGAGGCATATTTTATACAATTTATTTAGCTGATGCAAAAAGCCAAACAAAGGAATCATTTTGACTACACAATATGGCCATCACGTTCATTTAGAGTTCATCGGTGGTACTAACGGTGTAAAGATTTGCCGATCTATATCTTAGGTGTTCCTGATTGATGTCGAAAAGAGCAAAAGGGAAAAGGTGTAAATAAAACCCTTTAGTTGTTATGTTAGGAACATAAGACCATTTTACAGCCACAGATAATCTATTCTTAGACTTTTATTTTGTATGTAAACAGTGCATTAATCACGTATATCTACTCGGGGACTGACAGTTTACTACCGTGTGATGTAAACGAAAATAATAAAAATCAGTTATAGCTACTCGGGGACTGACAGTCTACCAACAGAGTCAACTACCTTGTGATATAGCTACTCGGGGACTGACAGTCTAACAACAGAGTCAACTACCTTGTGATATAGCTACTTGAGGACTGACAGTCTACCAACAGAGTCAACTACCTTGTGATATAGCTTCTCGGGGACTGACAGTCTACCAACAGAGTCAACTACCTTGTGATATAGCTACTTGGGGACTGACAGTCTACCAACAGAGCCAATTACCTTGTGACGTAAGGGAAAATACTAAAAATATGAGCAAACGTATTACCGATATGCTGAACTGGATCTATGTTTTTTTTGAGTATTGATTTACAATATTATCTGTTACAGGAGTAATCCAGGACCCAGTAATTTTTTGTCGGAACTCAAATCCATATGGGGATGTCACGTCAATAAGATAGACCAAAAGTAAGCATCAATGTTCTGTCGAGGCAAAAAGCTGTGTCTCGTGGCGCTTTAAGTTATTTACATCGAAAAATCTTCCTATATATTTATGGATTGAGAATGATGACAATGAAACAGAACTTAGCAGTTAGGAGACCAAAAGGATTCATTAGTCAGAGCTATGAATAACTGTTTCCATTCCGATCACGCCATTGTTGACGTCACACTATTGTATTTCGCTCTCATCAAAATGAGCATCGTTCTACGTTTATGTTATTAGATATTTAAACGAGAATACCGGTATTCCTGTGATGCGAGGTGATTTAGATTGAAAACAAATTAGAAAGTCTTTCTGTCCGTTTATCTGATGCGTTTTCAACAAACTAGTTAATCAATGTTTGAACTGTTTTGCGGGAATATGGTCGTACCTTATTATCGTCGTCATTTATAAAGGTTGTTATTTATTACGGTTGTCATTTATTGCGGTTGTCATTTATTATGGTTGTCATTTATTATCGTCGTCATTTATTATCGTCGTATTTTAATAAGGTTGTCATTTATTGTGTTTCCTTCAGACGACAAAGGTCAACGAATCATCATTCATGAGTCTCTGTCTAAAGTTTTTCCTCTTGACCAGAACAGTTTTCGATCGAAAATCATTCGCAAGTAATGTCCTTTGTGTTCTGCTTTCTTTATTATCTGTTCATTGTGCGTGAATGGTATATGGTAACACCAGTGTGTGTGAATGGTATATGTTTACTCCAGTGCGTGAATGGTATATGGTTACTCCAGTGCGTGAATGGTATATGGTTACTCCAGTGTGTGAATGGTATATGGTTACTCCAGTGTGTGTGTGTGAATGGTATATGGTTACTCCAGTGCGTGAATTGTATATGGCTACTCCAGTGTGCGTGAATGGTATATGGTTGTTCCAATGTGTGAATGGTAAATGGTAACTCCAGTGTGTGAATGGTATATGGCTACTCCAGTGTGCGTGAATGGTATATGGTTACTCTAGTGCGTGAATGGTATATGGTTACTCAAGTGTGTGTGAATGGTATATGGTTACTCCAGTGTGCGTGAATGGTATATGGTTACTCCAGTGTGTGAATGGTATATGGTTACTCCAGTGTGCGTGAATCGTATATGGTTACTCCAGTGTGTGTGTGTGAATGGTATATGGTTACTCCAGTGTGTGAATGGTATATTGTTACTCCAGTGTCCGTGAATGGTATATGGTTACTCAAGTGTGTGTGAATGGTATATGGTTACTTCAGTGTGTGAATGGTATATGGTTACTCCAGTGTATGTGAATGGTATATGGTTACTTCAGTGTGTGAATGGTATATTGTTACTCCAGTGTCCGTGAATGGTATATGGTTACTCCAGTGTGTGTGAATGGTATATGGTTACTTCAGTGTGTGAATGGTATATGGTTACTCCAGTGTATGTGAATGGTATATGGTTACTCCAGTGTGTGAATGGTATATTGTTACTCCAGTGTCCGTGAATGGTATATGGTTACTCAAGTGTGCGTGAATGGTATATGGTTACTCCAGTGTGCGTGAATGATATATGGTTACTCCAGTCCAAAGAACCACTGTCATTAGTTATTATCTGTACATTGTGCGTGAATGGTATATGGTTACTCCAGTGTGCGTGAGTGGTATATGGTTACATCAGTGTGCATGAATGGTATATGGTTACTCCAGTGTGCGTAAATGGTATATGGTTACTCCAGTGTGCGTGAATGGTTTATGGTTACACAAGTGTGCGTGAATGGTATATGGTTGCTCCAGTGTGCGTGAATGGTATATTGTTACTCCAGTGTCCGTGAATGGTATATGGTTACTCAGTGTGCGGGAATAGGATATGGTTACTCCAGTGTGCGTGGATGGTATATGGTTACTCCAGTGTACGTAAATGGTATATGGTTACTCCAGTGTACGTAAATGGTATATGGTTACTCCAGTGGGCGTGAATGGTATATGGTTACTCAAGGGTGTGGGAATGGTATATGGTTACTCCAGTGGGCGTGAATGGTATATGGTTACTCCAGTGTGCGTGAATGGTATATGGTTACTCCAGTCCAAAGAACCACTGATATTAGTTATTATCTGTACATTGTGCGTGAATGGTATATGGTTACTCCACTGTGCGTGAATGGTATATGGTTACTCCAGTCCAAAGAACCACTAATATTAGTTATTATCTGTACATTGTGCGTGAATGGTATATGGTTACTCCAGTGTGCGTGAATGGTATATGGTTACTCCAGTGTGCGTGAATGGTAGGTATATGGTTACTCCAGTCCAAAGAACCACTCCAGTTTAAACATATTTTATTGATACAAAAGGATTGGGCACAAGTTATTAAACTTATATGAAGCCCTCTCCAACACATGTTACAAACATTTATATTAACAATTCGAAGATGGCAGACTTTCAACATCGTGATAACAAGTATATTAAAAACAAAATATTATTGCACAGGCATGTTGTTTTTATCATATTCAACTAGAGTGAGAACATGAAAGGGGATAGAGAGAAACAGAGAGAGACAGAGAGAGACAGAGAGAGACAGAGAGAGAGAGAGAGAGAGAGGGAGGGGGGTTAGAATCTTTTCGTATTGTCAATGTATTTCTGAGTATAATTAAAAATTTGTTCATTATCATTATTAGATAAGTTTGAATCACCAAACATCAAGGTTTGTAGGCTGAGTGGAATGTATGCATTCAAATTCCTGAAAAGTTCAACCCGTTGTCGGGCATAAAGATTACAGTTAAAAAAATAATGGTTTGCATCTTCACAGTAAAAACCGCATTCACAACGTTGTTCTTTAATAATGTTCACTCTGAATAAATCGTGTTTAAGAGAACTTGATTTGTTTCTTAATCTACAGTGTAAGATGTTAGTTTTCCTGTCACCAAAGAGAAAGAGATGTGAAAAAGTTGAAACGTGTTTTTTTACGAAGAGTATCTCTAAACGTGCTAAAAGTTCCTAACTGTCTAATGTTAGTATCTAAAAGGTTCCTGAGTCTTATAGTAGCTGGGAAGTAGGAGTTGTTTGTTATTTCCAGTCGGTTATTGGGTAGCGTGTAATCGGAGTTTCTTAGAGTGAATCTGGAGTTTTCAGAATTTAAAGGTGGAAGAAGGTCAGAAAGATATGGTGGGGCTAGTCCATTGATATCAGTTAAGCGTGTGAATATTTTGTACACTAGTATTTTTGGATAATTTTGGTGAAAGTAGAGGTGCCTATTTGGGCCTTTTGGTGGCTATCACCGAAAAGATTTTTTTTGTATATACATGTCTTTGGGTTATGCCGACGTGATATGATATGAAATTAAGGTCAGCTTGGAGACCATTCCGAGATATGAGGTATCGCACTCGTGAGACATATAAGGTATTCAACGGGAACTTGTAATCTGATTCAGACAAACAAGATATACAAACACATATATCATCATTTTGTTATAAAAAAAATACATGGTTTGTTATATTCAGGAACTGTACGGAGAAAACACTGCAGCGCATCAGTGCCGAGGTAAGTCTAAAACCTTTCACTTCTCTATTGTTTTATACGAAACTGTGTACTGATATTGTCAAAATGTATATCTGAGCAGTAATTACCAAACTCTACGATAATGCTATTTGAATATTTGTAAAAAATAAAAAAATAAAATCTTGAAACAGACACTTTATCCACCCCCTTGCAACAGGTATATTTAAACAAAAAAGTAAAGATGCGGCAGATTTTAAAACAAGTTTATCATGATTAAAACATTCTCTATCGTCTAATTTTTATACCAGAAAGTGATAGACATATTCGCCGTTGACGTGGACGACTCGGAGGCTATTTTACTTGAGAGAATGCTGGCTTTGGGCGTGATTAGTAAAGTGAAACAACTGTTAGTAACATTCCATGGGGACATGGAGGGTCAGTTAAATGCTAGACAATACCAGGACAGATTGACTTTACAAAGAAACCTACTCCACCTGGGGTATCGGATATTCCACCGCACGAGGAACACCCAGTGCACGCATTGCGACAAGGTCCCAAGACCTGGCTGTGTCACTCTTAATATGGTAAGTTCATGCTGTACAGAAGAAAGATATTTTCATTTTTTTCGCCCCGTGCATGTTAATATATTCATGTTTGTGAACAAAAGTGTAACAAAACATAAAACGTAATATGAGTGCTTCGTTTGTGTAGCACATAAAAGTGTTTTGTTGTTAAGAGACGAAGTATACCGGTTTCAAATGTCCCCGAACCGCTATCGTACCAAAAACTGGCCAGGCTTTTGCATAAACTGATATATAAAATTCTGAACGAATAGTTCTCGAATGGTCATATTAACAAATCGACGACAGTCTGTTTTGTGGTCACATTTAACCACTTAATAACACTGTAGGTGGGAGATACCTTACTACTTATCGAACAGCGTGTGTGTGCTAATAATTTACTACCAAACCAAGAGTTATCACGTAGTAATAATATTCAACCAATAAATAACTCCTGTTGATACAGAAATGCGGTTGCATATAACCTCCTTATTATGTAAATTACAAAGATTTGAGAAAACAACTTTTTGTTTTATAAATTAACAATGAATGAAGTGATTATATTACGAACCATGTGACTACTCAATAGAGATAAGTGTGAACATCAAGGTTACGGCAAATCTCGTGCACTGAATAATCCTCCAGCGGAGCATACCATATTATATCTTGAAAGACAAGTAATTGATACAGTCTGATAAAAAGTAAAAAGTGAATCCGTTCAGCTTCCCGAGACAGAGAAAATGAAGAAGAAATAATAAAGAGAGACATAAATATCGATGTTCATGTCAAGAAAGAAAAAGGGAATAAAAAGTACAACGGCATCCCATAATAAACACCCACTTCGAGAAAGTGTCTTCGTGTGGTCATAATTTATTGCAGCAATCTATTAGTAAATCTCTAGGTTGACATATACAAGTGCTGTAAACAATGCATTGTTTGTGTAATGACCTACACTTGTGTTCAGGTACCAGTCGTTTGGAGTTATATAGATTTCCTGTGGTATTTCAAAAGGAAAAATAAACGTTATTGAGATAGTGCGTGCAGTTAACTCTCTACCGTACAGGGTAACTACACACGTAGCTGTTCGTACAGATGTTGTGTTTTATTTCAACAGATGTTACCTTCACAAGTGAAAGCCCCTATCGTGATACCGCCAGAACACATTCTCGGTAACCTTACCTCCAACCAGCTCAATCGATATTACCATAGGTAAGTATACTATATATCAACAGTAATAATCATGGGTAGGTAAACTATATATCAACAGTTATAACCATAGGTAAGTATACTATATATCAAAAGTTATAACCATGGGTAAGTATACTATATATCAACAGTTATAACCATAGGTAAGGATACTATATATCAAAGGTCATAACCATAGGTAAGTATACTATATATCAACAGTAATGATCATGGGTAGGTAAACTATATATCAACAGTTATAACCATAGGTAAGTATATTATATATCAAAAGTTATTACCGTAGGTAAGTATACTATATATCAACAGTAATGATCACGGGTAGGTAAACTATATATCAACAGTTATAACCATAGGTAAGTATATTATATATCAAAAGTTATTACCATAGGTGAGTATACTATATATCAAAGGTTATAACCATAGGTAAGTATACTATATATCAAAAGTTATATCCATGGGTAAGTATACTATATATCAAAAGTTAAACCATAGGTAAGTATACTATATATCAACAGTTATAACCATAGGTAAATATACTATATATCAAAAGTTAATACCATAGGTAAGTATACTATATATCAAAAGTTATAACCATGGGTCAGTATACTATATATCAAAAGTTAAACCATAGGTAAGTATACTATGTATCAACGCTTATTACCATAGGTAAGTACCCGGAGAAAACCTAAATGGTCGGGCAGGTGACCCCAACTTTTTCACGTCCGATCGGGGAATTGAACCCCGGCCGCCTTGGTGAAAGGCAAGTGTGCTATCCATTGCACCACCCGACCAACTTTTGTTCAGTTTTGTCATATGTTTTTGATAAATTAGATATGAGGGGGAATGGGGGAGAATGGCCATAACAGTTTTTCAAACCATAATATCCAGTTCAAGTTTGTCAAGCATGTCAATATTTGCAAAACATCATGTTACAGAATGGGTTAAAAAAGTAGACATTTTTATCACATAAATCATACTGTCATTAAATTGAAAGGCTGGGTTTTCTCTTTGTTTTTTTTAAACATCCAAAAAGCTGTTGTGTCCTTTAGGACATCATCCTTTGTAAAAAGTTACCACTTTGAGAATATGCAACGCAATGATTAGTTAAGACTATCGACGAGATATATGGTCTGATCACGGAGTGTAGAGATATATGGTCTGATCACGGAGTGTAGACTTAATGTTGGTTTGATGCTGTTTTGAACACAAAAACAACTTTAGGTCACAACATTCACTATCAACAGTAATTATGGAAACTATTCCGCTCTAACTGTAAATGTTAGTTTTAGGAAACAAGTAATATATTATGCAGTCCACAACATATAGAGTTTCCAGATATGCTTTAGTTTTGTTAATTCAAAATAGAGTGGAGTTAGGGTCCATTGTGATTAAAATACACAGCAGTGAGATTCGTCCTTACTCTATTCAGCCCTCGAAATATAACTCAAACCTATCGTGCTGTTTTTGTTATTAATTATTCATCAAAGCCATTCAGGTATAACAAACAGGTAATAAAGTCTTACCTTGTCCAAGGATATTACTATATGGGATGTACACAGCCTTTCTTTATCTCTTTGTTTACATTAACTTATTACTTCTGCCATTTATTTAAATGTGATCAGATAATTCTAGGTTTTTTTATTGGAATGTAATTAGTATGCTAATTAACAGGTTAGTGTACAGTGAAATCGTTACCGCCATAATGATAGAGTGTGAAGAAACCTTATTATACTGTCATCATTTTACAATAGAATAACCTGTTATACTGTCACCATTTGTCATTGTTTTATAAAGAGGCTAGGCAATATATCGTGAAAGATGTATTAAGAATTGCTAAAAGAAATCGGAAAACGGAAGTAGCAATTTATAACGCAATAGGATTTCCTTTTCTTGTTATCCATTAGGTTATGACACATATAAAGAGCAAAGAGTATAAAATAACCTTCTAACTGGGCCCTGGTTTTCACACGTCAATTAACAAAGGGAATTTGTTTTACTTTCTTCTTTATTTCTAATCATTCAAATCCATATTATTTTATAATGCCTACCAGATTTCCACACATCTATCATAATTGCCTTTTGGTTGTTTTTTTTTATTTTCTTATTCTACACTTCATGCCTTGTTAACACATGGTGTAAATCTCTTTTTGTATTATTTCCATTACGATTCCTCGGTCTATGTCTGTTTGTATTATTTCCATTACGATTCCTCGGTCTATGTCTGTTTGTATTATTTACGATTCATCGGTCTATGTCTGTTTGTATTATTTACGATTCATCGGTCTATGTCTTGAAATACTTCATTCATACAGATGTTAACAAGTTCCACTCAATACTACAATCTCAGAGAGTATGCTTTTTACTCCGCAAAACGAGCTTGACTCTTGGATTTGACAGGTCATGTCTTCATCTATTTAGTTTGTGTATGACCTGTCAGGTTTTGAGCTTTGATTTTATAAAAAAAAAACTCTTTCCGTATAGATATTTGTTGACGACACAGACGTTCTGTAAGAAGCTATCTCCGATGGGTGATATTGGGCGAGGCGGTTGGGAAGTGTGTATAGACGAGCCGTACAGTCCCGCTGTACCCTGTCTGGTATACTCCTTCGGGTGAGTAGCACGCTAGAAAGACATCTTATAACCCATCAGTATAGCTGATAAGATGTCATGACCACAGAATCGTGGTGTGATGTTTTGGTATATAGATATAAAAAGGATTTTTACAGGAAGAGATTTTTTTTAAATAAAGCGATCCACACCCTGTAGTCATGAGCAGATCAAGTCGGCTTGGTATACAAGTAAAATTATTTTGGTTCAGGTTAAAAGAAACAATCGTTTAAGACCTTTAAAATTAGGGCAATTATATAGCATTGTAATACAAAGAATGAATTATATTTCTGAACATGTGTTAGAATTCACCGATTTTTACTCTGATCTCCACAGTCAGCTGAACTGTACAATAATTAACATGAAGTTCTATGTGAACTGATGGACTCGATTTTGTGACTATAGGACAGCTGATGATTGGGCGTTCGACAGCGCACTGGCCAACCATTTCGGGTGTGAAGTACACAGTTTTGATCCAAGGTAACACTTAATCAAGGGTATTTCTTACTCAGTTTCCAATTATCAAAACCCATTTATTTGATATTTAAAGGAAGGTATCAGTTACAAAAATAAGAGGCTTATGTATAAGGAACATTATTTACGGATTAATATGAAGAAGAGAAAGTGTTAACTTAATTCTCTTTTAATTCTTTTACGGAAACTGTTTCTGAAGAATTCACCGTTTACATCAGAAATATACGAGGTTAATACTAAAGTCTTACACAATAATTACATAATGACATTTTCCGTAAGTCGACTGCAATAATTGTCATTTTTTTCTTTTACAATATGGGATCTTAGATGAGTTACGGCTTCATATGATATTTATTAAGAGAACATAAGAAGAATGATTCCATTTAAGCGAAATTCTGTAAAAAAAAATAAAAATAACTAAGTGCCATATCTTAAAAAAAATCACATACGAACAGAAATGGAAACGAATTTGGGTTCATTCTTATATATTACTAGGTATATATTGGACTGATCGCACATACATGTCGTCCTCATATTGACGTCATGTCCATTGTCTTCAATGCAGCGTCATAATGGAAGAATTTAACTCTGACAGTCGGTGATGTTATATGAAGTAATACGCAGACACAATGTCTGGTGCATTGACTGCATAACACGGAATGATGAACTATATCAATTAATCACACGATGTTTAATTGTATGTATATAAACTTATGGAATATAACGCTTTTATTACGTTATTATATTTAGAATATTCATAAAATGACATCACAGACTATCTGATTATGGTATGACGTCGCATGGAGTGGCGAATTGTTAACGTCGAGAATGACCTGGAAAAACCTCATTTTTTTCAAAAATATTTTCAGATATTGGCAAAATTCTTGATCTTATGGTTATAAGAATCATGAGTTCGTTTCTATTTTGCAAGGGACTTGCTTAAACGAAATGTTTTAAATACGTTTCAAATATCTCCTTTTAAATGGAAGATTGTGAAATATTATATATCTATAATAAACATCTCAAGAAAAATCAAAATATCAAATATATTTAACAACAATTATGAAACAAGTTTTATCAATTAAACTTATTGTTATTGAAATTGAATATCTTTCATCGTTTGTTTTCTAGTGGTTACTTTATATTGATGATGTAACCGTTCCGTTTATTACAGATATCGAAATACTAAAGAAGATACCAACGATACCAGGTAATGCACTTCTTTTTTGGTATATTAACAGTGATATTATAATCCAAAACGTAGTTCCCGTATACAATTAGATGCCAGTTTTGTTTATCGTTTTAGTTAGCAGTAAAGTATTTTAGTCATCCATTTTACCTGTTTCATCATGTGATCATTTGATTAACTGAAAATAGCAGTTATTACCTTTATTCAAATGTACTGATGGGCTGGTAAAACCAACATGTAGACTAGTCATGTATTCCTGCAATGAAATCGTATATCCATAGTACATCTTAACGACCCATAGAGTTGAGAGACTGAGGCATATGAAAGATGAATACAGTCACTCCATGCACGCACCATATATAGTTATTTATTATAATTAATCACATTTCGAAAAAGCAAGAAGACAACACCGACGCTCAGCAAGAACGAATCTTTAATGGTTAACAAATGATTGGGTTTATTTTCCCCAATAACAGACATTGTATTTAATACAAGCATTATTTTGAAAGAATCATTAATCGATCACCAAGTATGCATTTTGAAATACAAAAAAAAAAATAGAAATGTTTACTTTATTTTTTGTAACCGACATACATTGTTACAAATAGCTTTAAACACAAGTTGTTTACAAGTATAAATGGATGATTCGCAGCTATAAATGTACCTCATTCGTACTCGCGCATAAGTTGATAAACAACTATCAGTTCAACAAAAAATAAATTAGAAATCATACGTACACACTATTAAGTGGCCTAACCACGACAAGACATCATTTGCGAAAATAAAATTTGAAATTCGGCAACCTATTAATTCTGTGTAATTATGGCTGCGTTGTTATCTAGTTGGTACATTGTTCTTGTATTGACAGCGACCTGGTACCGAACAACAACAGGGCGGGAACGGTGTTCTACCATAACGAGGCTCTATGGGACAAGGACACGCAAATCCGGAGGCCAGATGGACAAAAATGGACCGCGGTCACATTTAAAACTATCAAGAAAAAATTGAGACATTTAAAAGTAAGAACTTTTCGCTCCCGGCTCCCATCCCATATTTATTTTTATAACCTGTTTATTCTAGCTTAGCATACATTTCTGAAATACCTTGTGTCACCTAGCATATATGTCGTCTATTGATAGTCTATTTCTAAGCGGTGTATATGGAAGTGATACATATCATTATTGAGAAATAATATCTACAGTGATCAATTAATTATTCAATTAACTTTGCAAAGAAATAGCGTAACATGGTGCTACATTGTAGATGTACATACATTATTTTTTTTAAATGCAATTATTTTAGTTTTCTATCAGAAATCAAAATAAATATTTTTTACAATTCTGAATTATCATAACATCACTGTTTAAGATACTGGCTGCATGTTTTCAAATCTTTAAATATTGAAGTATATCAATTAATATCTAAACAATCAGCAATACATTGCCTGAACAGGTGTATTAATAATTTAAATGTATACATTAAATAACAGTCTTCGTTTTATGGTGATAGTTGAGACTGCAGAATGTGGATCTCAAATTGATTATGGTTTGTTTGTTTGGTTTTATTTTAAAGTGCTAATTCTAAAGTACCTTAACAAATACTTTTGTATTATTACTTTTTCGGTATGGCCTACACACAAATACAGACTGAGATTTATTTAGAAAATAGCAGAGAGGGAAATATCCTTCTGAATGCTAGTTACAAATTTTCCGTTAAAATCAGAAAAAGTACATGTATACTGGAGATACGTTCAACGACAATGTCCAGCTTTGACTAAAAGGAAAATATAAAGGTTACATATTTGATTGCTGAACAGTTTGATTTTTCCCATAGCTGATCATTTCAGTCCTCTTGTAAAGCATTTATTTCCAAATCCAATGACATTGCCCAAAACGTTCAAACGTAAATGAACAAAGACGACTGGTTTCCTATCATGTACAAATTTATCCTTTAATTTAATTTAACCATAAATAAACAGAATTTAAAAGCTTTACCATAAATAAACAGAATTTGAAAGCTTTACCATAAATACACAGAATTTAAAAGCTAAGCTCGCTTTTGTGTTGTCTCTCTATATATATGTTCATGTACATATATGGTAAGACGCGTTATAGTATAGACTATAATTTACTTGTAATTAAATCATATTGCTCTCTAACTGACACAAAATCTCACCTAACTTGTATATAGGAAAACACCTTTATGCTAGGTAAGACACCATTATATACTACAGTTACATAATGATAACAGTTAGAGGCCTACCAGGGAAGAAATGATGTTACTATCTCACCAAAGACTATATTTAGGTAAACCTGTCTAGAAACAGGCTGCTGTATCAACTTTTTCAAACATTATTTTGGAGAGTCGCAGACCCTTTAAATGTTTGTCAACATATTGTGTTTTCAGTATACAAGTCGCATTAGATTTAAAAGTAATTTTGTGTTCAATTGAACATGTGTATAGTTTTCTTTTGTGTTTCGTGTATGCATTAAGTGTTTAATAATATACTTAAGTATATATAAAATGTATAATCATGTAGGCCACTGATCTGAATCTCAAACGAAAAGACTTCAGGAATGACTGCTTTTCAGTATATTGCCTGGTGCTTGTTTTCCACCTCATCCGGTAACAGTTTACGATAGGTTTTTTCAGAGCTCAATAAAATGCCCTTGATTTCTGATCTTGTCCTTTCTAATTGCTGTGAAAGTAAAATATGGGGTTTTTTTTACATTTTCAGAGACAGCTTGACGTATTGAGAATTGACATAGACTATGCAGAGTGGAGAGTGCTGCCTTCATTAGTCAGTTCGGGTTTGCTAAGACACGTGAAGCAGCTATTTTTAGAACTGCATGGTAACACTGATGACGGAAGTGATCAATACTTTCATAGACTTTTAGTGTTACGTAGTCTTCACGACCTTGGCTTTAGGTCATTTTGGGCTCAAGCGAAACCGGATGACAGTGACCAGTTTGTGTCTCCATTGACTTCGACAAGAGTTTCAAAAGTTTACCAATTAAATCTAATAAATATTTATGTAATTTGATTTAAAGCTTTAAAATCTTATTTATAATATAACAGGATATTTTGTAAACTCTCAAAAATTGCGCAATTTATAGTCTCAGTTTTGATATTGTATGAGGCTTTTGATATCTTCCTCAACAGGCGCTTTGACGGAGTATATTTCGACCGTGGTGCTAATGAAAGAAGCTATCTTCATCTATGGTAGTTATCTTTCGCTGTGGTCCTACTTACTGTAGATTATTTCTTCTTAATTCCAATTGACTAGATATCTTTCTACTTAGTCCCTTGTGGCCACCCTGTCTGCGGATATCTCCACTGTAACCATAATGACTAAGTATCTTCCTCCGTGGTTCCTGTGAACAGACTGTCACTGTAGATATTTTTCTGTGGTACTTATAAAAGCTTATATCTTCCTCCATTGTCCTAATGGCTATAGATAGGATATCATCATTCATGGTCCAAGTGACTGAACATTACTTCCTCTTTGGTCGTAATGACTGTAGATATCTTCATCCATGGTCCCAGTGACTGAATATTACTTTCCTCTTCCTCACTGTAGATATGTTCCTCAGTGATTCCTGTGGAAGAGAACATGACAATAGCTATCCTCTTTTGTGTTCTTAATGACTGAGATTACCGCCAGTGTCCTAGTGATGGAATTTAACTTTCTCTTTGATCGTAATGACTGTAGATATATTTTTCACTGCCCATAATAACTTTTTTTGTATATTTATGTGAATGCAGCTATCTGTCTTCGTTACCCTAATGAATATTAATCATCCTCTGTGGCCATAGGGCATGTTTCTTTCATCAATGATCACAGCAAGATATGAGTTATGTCCTGCTCTTCATGTGAACTATCTTGTTATTGTTTTAATTGGTAGCAAGTAATAATTTACATACAAACTGCCATTTTCATTAAACTCTACTTACCTCAGGTTAATAATAAAAATGTCTGCCACTTGATAAGAAATCACTATTTATATTGAAAAAAAACAAGTAATGCATTTCATCGTGCTTATATTAAAACGACAAAACCATCGGATTTTATTTGCAAAAATGTTCTAAGCATGTTATTGATGTGAATGTCGTTTTATTTCGATTATATGGTGGATTGTGCAATGATCTGATTGAAATTCTCTCTGCGACGCATACCTGTTTTGTATAACTGTATAGTTTCATTTCGTCGGCTCAAGGTTGAGAGACTACGGTCATTAAATATCTTGGAACACAATCAAAGAAGTATTAAAGATATCATTTTTCAGTATAATTAATAATTACTAGTAATAATGATATCGTCAGAGGTCCTGTTTCTGTGCGGGTCCAGTTTCAGTGATCATAGTTATCTACTATGATGTTTGACATGATGTAATGAATGTTTATCTTGAGGTAAGTTCCCGTTACATTTCGGCAATATTTCACTATTTAACGATTTAGTTCATTATTTTTGACATTTTTCCAGTTTCAAAGAAGTTCATTCTGAACGTACCATAAATGCCACCGTTCACAGATTTTCTTTAGATTGAATTATTTATCCAAAAGTTCATTTATCAATCCATGATGTTCATATATCCAACCAAGTGCCATCAATAATGTGATATTAATCATAACCCATTGTCATGATTTCATTCGACATTAACACACATGTGCGGATTAATTTTCTTTATGATATATTTATAGAAGAGAATTTTATGTTAACATATTTACAATTTGATAGTTTTGCTTGTGTTTTAAGATTAATGACTTATTCCAATAAAATATATAAATCCTAATATATTCATGTTTTTATTTTTATTTATTGACATATATATTTTTCAAAATAGAGAGAAACCGTATACCGATCATCTTATAACTTTGTAGATTTATATGAAAAGAATAGTAATAGTTTCCATTAATAAAGTTATTTATAAACTTAAATAAAACTTCATTAAAATATACATTGTATGTTAGAACTTTAGAAATTTAATAAAAATTAAATTTAATTCCTAGTCATATAGTGATTAAACCAAATTTAAAGAATTAATTACATCAGTTGAGTAAATAAAATGTTACTTAGATTCTCGTGCAACCGGTCAGCTGATTTCACACACAATGACAAATTATATTACTACACATAGTACCGTTTCTGAGAAGAGTTATCCCCCTTCTCCGAGATAACGTAGTTGCGAGAAATGATAATAAACATTACAAAAATCATAAATGGTACACCATTTTACTATTGTCATTTTTATTTAAACTTGAAATAAAAAAAAAAGTAAATAAAAATTATAACATTGTCATAGTAAAAACTGACTTCCGACTCACAATCGGTTCCTCGTGGTTAAAACTTTCTAACATCCAAACATCCGACTGGGTAAACCCCGTGACATCAACTTGCACAATAAACCTAGAGAACTTTGTTATGGCACAGGGCACTTCATCCATCAATTTTAGTCAACGGCTGTACATTTATCTTCAAGTGAGCTCTATGCCTGTACTGACGGGTGTCCTGGATGGTCAGTTTGATGACCGATGATTTGAAATAGTGCGGACATAAACTTTTTAGAATATAAAAAAACATCAAACAAGATCAACTTTCAAAAATGAAAGGAATATCAAGTGTTGGTTATTATTAGATTATATTTCGTTTCAACAAAATCAGCTGATCGGCGGAAGTTCAACGTTTCAAAGTATGTGTGTAGGCTGGGGTTCTGGCTGTTCCTTTTTTTGTTTTGTTGTCTGATGCTAATATCAAAAACAATAAATTTACAAAAAGTGTTGTAACTTTTTTATTGTAGTTCACCGTAACGTAAATATACGAATTTAATGGATATTTTTCATGTTCATTGCGGCAATGAATAGCAGTAGCTGATCTACATATCTTCTGAGGAGTGCTAACGCACTCCACAGGATATGCTTTTCATTGCCGCAAAGTACATACAAAATCCATTCAATCCCTATATAATATTACTTGTCTGTTGCAGATCTAGGAGATTCACAAAACAACTATATTTACTATCCCCTTTGTTAGACAAAAAACGATAATACCGAAGAGTTAACAAGTCATATTTCGAGCTTAAAATACGTTTACATTGAGACCTTTGAAAAGTGCAAAATAATAAGACCTCTGCTTTATTGACAACAATCGCCATGTTAATATAGGTCATATCAAAGTAATGTCACGACCCCACATCGAGAACTCGGGTAATGACAACAAATCCACATACCACACTAGTGAGCATAATCAAAGTAATGCCATATTTCCCTATGAGATCATGACTGTGACATGTGAACAGCATTTGAAGGGGAATTATGGATGTGACTATCTAGAAAGGGGAAATTCACGACAAGAAAGTTGAAACCGCCAAGCGTATCGTTGAGCTAAGTAAAATATCAAAATATTTACAATCATGAGAAGGGTCTTTTTATCGCTTAAAGTTTCTAGAGGAAGCTGACCCGAGTGAGTATACACCGCTACACCAACGTTGTGGTAGCCACGTAAGATGTTTCATGGTTTGTTTGTGATAGGTGTTAAGATTGTCTTTGTCATTTTTGACAGCTTCCAGTTCATATAATATTCTTGATCTGACATAACAGATCCACATTGGGATGAGTTCTTTCGGAAAAACGCCACTGTAACCATGAAGTCCAGCACCCATAAGCGAGTAGGTTGTTTTGGCTTCAGAGTGGATCCTTTCTGCAGCGATTTTGTCAAGTTTGTTTTTAGCAGTTGACGTCCTGTCAATCCCCAAATGTTTGCACTTGATTTCCTACTTCAGGTGGTTCATTGAGGCAGAAAATTTTGCTCTTATTTGCACTGATGGTGTATTGTTCTTTTTCGGCATAGTATGTTTTGATGTCCATCATCATTTGGAGATAGTGTAGGTGATCCGATAGTTACAGCATGTCTTCTGCACTTATATGTATATGTCCAATTTTGAAGTCCATGTTATTCTTCTCCAGTATAGTTAGGAATGGGTTTAGGAACATTGTGTAACATGTTGGAAACCAGCATCCTCCTTGACGGACTCCCTGTTCTTCTGTAAAGTCTTGTGATAATAGGTTGCTCCATTTGAAATTGGATGAGGGTGTTTTGTGCCGGTCTCGTATTAATGTCAGTCTTGTGATGTAAGCCCATATTGAAGAAGGCGTCGCAGCAAGGAAGAATGCCATATAATGTCAAATGCTTTCGAGGCATCCAAGAAGGCAGCATAGAAAGGCCTGTTAGTGTCCACATTCTCTGCTATGAATTCAGTTAGTAGGAGTGCTGCTCACTTAGGGGAGGTCCCTTCGATAAACCTTTTCTGTAATCTGCTAAAATGTTGTTCAAGTTTTCCTGCATTATGTTCAAGGTGGGGTTTTCGAAGGTTTTCCTAAAAATGTTCCAAAACAGTTATCCGTCTGTAGGAGTTGGAATCTGTTATAGGTTTCCCTTGCTTTTTGTATATTGGAGTGATGAAACCGGTCTTTAAGTCCTCATCATCTCTGTACATTGTTTGGAATAAGGATGTCAGATCCTGTATGTTCAGCTGTTATAATATTAGCGCCATCCGCTGCCTTTCCACTATTTAAGGTTCGGATCACTCTACGTATTTCTTCAGTAGAATAAAGCTGCTCTTTTCTGGTTTGAATAGCTGATGGTTCCTGTATTTTGTAAATGTCCCTGTCTACTTGTTCCTGATAGAACCTTATGTTGAGGGCATTGGATTTCTGATGTTGGGACGCTGTATCTATCATTTGCCTAGAAGATAGCCTTTATCCACACTCTTTGGGAGCTTCATGGAGACCCGTGATGCGGCTATTGTGGAGTGTCAGTAGGATCGCTTGGACGAGCAGTTGGTGTCACCGTATCATAAAGTGTTGGCTAAATGGACTCGTGGTTCTTTATGTCGAGGATTCTATTCTGTGAGAGCGTATCTCACATCCTCGATATCCAGTGGTTACGCTCACGTTCCTCTCCACACCCCTGGAATATGTCATAGCAAAATTGAAGGCTCAGTGTATACCACCTTTTTGATGAGACAAGAAGACTAGTTCGATCCTTTGATGCACATCAAAAGAATATCGCGGTCAAGTAAAGATAAAAACATTGACAGGCTTTGAAGTTTGGCGTCTCTCCTTTGTAATCTTCAAAGGGCAGGTATCATCCTAGCGATTGCCTGAGACCAATCAAACAGCTATGTTCGTGCCTTCAATTTTGCTATGACATATTCCAGGGGTGCAGAGAGCGAAAGTGAGCATAACACCTGGATATCGAGGATGACAGTCTCAAGGAGAGTATATGACTTTCCATAGTCTGTATACCTGGTACAGTGTGGTGGGTAGGCTAAATGAATGTATGGGCATCTGATTTGAACTACCATCTCTTGAGTGTAGAAGGAGTGAGGCTTTAAGCTCATTGACCTGTTTAATGATCACGACCACGTATGGCTATCAATTGTCGGATGGATTCGGAAAGTTTGGTTTCTTGTTTTTTTCACTTTCTGTTCCCGTTCAGTCACTTGCTTTAGTCTTGTACCTATATCAGTTTTCTGAGTCAATATTTCTTGGATTTCCAAAGTAGAAAGGTTGATGTAAGTAGCTGCATCCCTTGTTTGACTTTTGTCAGTCATAATCGAGATTGTGCGCTGTTTTATTTGGTATCGTGGTTGTGGTGTTCACCTCTATCAGTGTTGATTAAGTCGGTATCTGACTGACTGTAATAACTGTTGACCCCAGTATATACCCCCATATCTGTAGCTGTGTCTGAGTTGCGTTCATCAAATGAGCAAAGTGAACTTAAATCAGCAGGCGCGTATACGTAGCTTCCTATACGTTGATACGCAGGTGAAAACAACAAAATATTCATACGTAAAATTAAAATAAACACTGCATCTTGCACTCCTTTATTTGTCCCCCTACCAAGGATCAACTCTGGACCCGCTCCTAAATGAATCCACTCGTAACGAGGGATATCTACGCCCCTGAGTAATTAGTGACACATGATTTATATGTATATGTGTTCATGTATACGTATGACATTGCCACAGTTTTGAACAACAACACAACTGTTAGCCAGTTATCGTTTGACCAGACCTATCTGAAGCACTTAATGGCATATTATCTATGAGCATTAAATATATGTAATAGTCGTCTTTATCCTGGATACATGACAACTCCTGGGTTATTTTCTTATAGTTTAATTTATTACTTGTAAAAAAAATGTAACATGAAATACATCATATTACTATTCATATTGTAACATTCTTACAATCACATAAGCTAAAACATGTCAAACACCTACCTGGCCGTAGCCAGTTACATAAGTTACAATAGCTGAATATGTATTTTACAACTGTGACATTCAATCTATATATTATATAGAAATTACAGTTTACACTTTATCTAATTATACAGCATAATTACAAATATATAAAATACCCACCTCTTCAATGTGAAGAGGGTTTTCTCGGACAAAGTCCGTCGAGTCCTCGGTCTTACTCGTTCAGTGTAAACACTATGAAAAGGAAACAATATATATTAAAAACTTGATTCTTCGAAATCGCTTGTCTACTAAATTGACCACGCCCGATTTCTAAATTTACAGAGACTTTCAAACTATTAACTTTACGTGTAAACAAAAATATTACATTAATTAAATATATTATTCAATAGATACTATAATTTAGACTAATATTTATACACGGGTACTTACGTTTAGTGCCTTTGGCTCTAGTGCTCGCTTCCTCTTTCAATTCCTATGCTGGCTAGGTAAAGTACTATACGTACATATAGGTGCAAGTATAAGCTGTGTTCGTTGTGTTCGCTCTGGCCGCTCTGTTCAAAGCGACCAGTGCGCCTATGGGCGGCCGTTTTAGGATAAAACCACTTTACTTTAAGGATTTGCACTTAAGTAGTTTAGGCATTTTATCCTAAAACGGCCGCCCATATCGCCAGGTAAACTCCCCAACATTCAACACTAGGAATACTATACATAGACAATACGTACTGGACAAACAGGTTTACAACACATTACATCACATCCGCTCAGTACCATACTCGCATTTACACGACGTGCTATTTCCGTGCGCGCGCTAAAAGTTTTGCCGCAATGCGTTACGTACAAAATTACACGGAAGGCTGATTTCCGTTACATACGAACGCGTATAGCTAAATACCAAATATATTAAAAGTAATAATGACAAATGATGACACTACTACATATATCTGCTGGTACATTTTGCTTGGCCAGTCATGTATCTCGGACATAAGCAAGTCTATAATTATTTAATACGATAAATAATGGACGCAGGCTGTGAGCCTCTGTGTCCATATCAGTTGATATTACAATATTTACAGTATGATATACTTCTGGTGCACAATTAACATGTCCTTTATCATCTATATAAAATTAAGTTAATTATTTGTTGGTATTTTCCCAGTGATTGTCCAGTTTAGGTTAGTAAAATTTCAAAATGTTTGACATCCTCTGCGTCTATAACATCTTGCGGCAAGTTGTTCCATGCATCTACTACGCGGAAGCTGAAAAAGTTTTTTCTAATGTGTAGGTTACAGCGCTTTTTGTATATTTTTTTGTGAGTGCCCCCTTGTCCTGCTGGTGGTATCCATTTGGAATATATTTGTCGTGACTCGTTCATCATAAATCTTCTTCACTATTTTGAATACGTTGATCAGGTCCCTCTATTCCTTCGGTGTTCTGAGGTTGGTAGGTTTAATAGTCTCTGCAAGCGTTCATGGTACGATAAATTTTTAAACCCCGGTACGAGTTTTGTAGCCCGCCTCTGGACGTTTTCTATTATTTTGATATCCCTCATCTTATAAGGACTCCATACACTAGAGGCGTATTCAAAGTTGGGTCTTACCAGTGCCTTAAATAATAGTTTGAACATTTTGTTCGTCTGAATATGTGAATGTTCTTCTAATCAGTCCTAGAAAATACTATTTGCTTTATTTATTATACACTATATTGTCATTAGAACTTTTGAAATGCTTTTCATTTCTAACTATCACGTTTACTGGTATATCTAACATATTCTGGTAAATCCATATCATTATACGTGAGTTTTTAAAAAATAAAGATAAAAAGAAAATCGATAACGAATCCTTAATTTTTAACAAATTAAAGGGACATCACTCCATTATCATTTCCGGTTTCACGACTATTGCCCGAGAATAACAGTATTATACCGAGTATATATAAGTAATGCAATTTTAACGAATTTTAACACGGTTATCAACTAACTTTGGTCTAATATAAGGTATACGCGTCTGTTATTTAATGGGATAGTCCAACTGTTAAATGTACATATAGTGTATACACAACGCTCCGGACTAGTCGGAAAACTTTGAGTTGGGACAACGGCCGGTGCTCGTATTTATTTGACGTAAACAGGTACAGAATTAGTTTTTGACGACTATTTGAAATAGGAATTCAAACTTTATTAACCTTGTCCAATAGAATTGGTTGTTTAGCCATATAGCTCTGTCGACCTATTACTAAATTGTAAAATATTTGAAACATTTGCTTAAAGCAATGTTTTTTTTTTCTTGGAAAAAATGTCAAATCACAATAATTTTTTGCAGAAAATGTCAGATTAAAGTATTTTCCTTCAGAAAAAGAACTTGATGTTAATAATTCCAGAATATTTGAAGTGATGGAAAATATATATATGAATGTTGTTTTAATTTGTAATGTAGACAAGTATACAGTTGATAACATCAATATTATTGTAACAGGAGAGGAAAACTGCACGGCCAGACCGGGGTTTGAACACCGAACTCTCCGAACTCTAGACCGACGCTCTATCTGGTTGCCGACGATCAACCCAGTCCAGTTTCGCTAGATTCCTCCCACTGTTTTCTAAGTATTTGGCCGCAAAAACACAACTATTAACACCCCAGGTTTGGGTAACCCTTTGCCATTAGCATACACCAAATGCTTGAAAAAAGGGTTGGTCACAGGCACCACTGTAACAGGAGAGGAAAAATGCACTGCTCGGTTCAAACCCGGGACCCTCCAAACTCTAGACGGATGTCTACCAATCAAGCTATCTGGCCGCCAACGATTGATCCAGTCCAGTTTCGCTACATTGTAGAATATAAATCATCTCCTTGTCCTATTATTAATTGATGCCAATAACCAACACCTGTCAGCAGACACATTATACCAAATGATATGTTGATAAACTGCATTTTTCTTGGCCAGGGAATAACCCAATTGGTTCATAAAAGTACAGTAGGTGAAATGGTTGACAGTGAAAGCTTAGAAAATAGAAGGAAGAATATATTTTAATGCATGTGTAGTGGAACTGGACTGGGTCGATCGTTGGCGACTAGATAGCTCAATTGGTAGAGCGTCTGTCTTGAGTTTGGATGGTCCTGGATTTAAACCCCGCTCTTACCGTTCATTTCTCTTTCTCCTGTAACAAATTTGATACCCAATGAAATATACCCAAGGAAGGTGGTAAAGGGTCTTATGTGTCTTTTGGTCAAAGACTTTGTTAAAAAAGGTGGAATGTAGTGGAAAACTGAGTTAATCATTGGGGACCAGATAGCTCTATTAGTATAGCGTCAGTCTAGTGTTCGGGGGTCCCTGCCCGGTTCGTATAAACCTCGGTCTGGCGGCACATTTATTTTTCTCCTGTTACACATGTTTTTAATCAGGTTACCATTATGACTACAGGTAGCTGAGCTGATATACTGAAGCATCCAAGGGCTCCAAATCCAAGTCTGCCGCAACTGTCAGGCTACATATTAATATGATGATATTTGGTGCAATAACATCAGTTTAATAATACAATGCCATAATATTTACATTTCAGTTTTCTGTCCGAGAGCAGAATGTAGTTTAAATACCTTTACAATCTGTGTACTGTGCTGGTACAGAGAAGATCCTCAACATCATTATGGATCACCATGAGATGTTGAACATATCAGATGGGAACTCTGCACACCACTCGGTCCTTACAGTAACTGAACCGGTGGTTATGGATGCTTTAGGACCCACAGTGAAGAGTGAACAAGGAGAAGCACTCATCTCTACGACTACAGCTGCCACCCTTCTCCCAGAACATGGAGGATTGGTTCTGGTCGAAACATCACGAGGGTAAAACTTTTTCATGTTCTTTCTTCTGAACTGTCATTTTTAATTTGATTATATCAATGATCTTATCAATTTTCATTTGTTTATATCAATCGGAGTATTGAAATTCCACAATTTGAAATCAAATTTACCCTTTACACTCGGCTGGTTCTTTAATCAAAATGTAATTACAGTCAATTCAATCTCAGTCACAAAAATTAGATTTTTTTCTCTACATTCTTTCTATCAGTAATCAACATGTGCTCACTTATACTTCAGTTATGTAAGGAAACTAAAGCTGTTTATACTTTAGCCCTTCACAGGAAAACACTTTGGGATCAGGAGTGAGATTACAAAAATTGGAATTGAGTAGAAAGTATATATATATACATGTAATGCAAGAACTGTACAATAGAATGAGTAGTATTGTTTGTATATATCATTCAGGAATCTGCTGCTGTCAGTGAATGGTGATACACTGGGTACTGTTAGCTACACAGATGCTGACATACAGGGGAGACAAATCCTGACAACAGCATTACCAAGTAAATAAATTATATTGTGTTAAATTTCCTATTTTAAGCAAAAAGGAACACGTACATGTGTTGCCTAGATTGATATTTTATTTTGTATCATACATTTATTTGTATCTGAAGGCATTCCTTTAAAATCTGTCATAAATGAAGCAAACAATATTGAAAGTGAAATGGGCTTTAAAAAGTAAAAGGAATAGCTGGATTACATGTACTTATTATGGAATTGACTGTATATTGTATGAATTTTAATGGTGGCATGGTGGCATAGTTTGTTTACGGCGTCGCCTCACTTGATGCTACAGCACAGACACCATAACACCCACTCCAAACCATTTATATTCCAACAGTGTTGTATTTGTGTTGGCAGGAGAAAAAATCTGTCTGAATATTCCATCATATTACAATGACTTCGTGGATCAAATACCAGTTATCTTTATGGAATGCCAGAGTGTTTAACACTTGCCGAATTCCACCCATTGACAAACAAAGTAGGTAGATTTTACACCTGAGGCCATATATATATGTTTTTCAGTGACAGGGATTCTAACACAGAGTGGCTTGGTTGAGTCCCAGGGAACTACTCTGCTCATCAACCAACCACCTACACCAGGAGAGGGAGTCGCTGTTTGTGAGGGCACATATGACACGTCAGTAAACACACTCCAGACTGACCAACTCCTGACCTCTAAGTCCACACATCCCAGTACTTCACCCAGTAGTGACCAGTCAGCAGAAAAGGTTTGTGATCATGTGATTTTTTATGTTTAATCATTGATGTAAGATTGACTTTTGATCTTTTGTAACTTTTACTTCTTTATGTCATTAATTTTTTTTGTATTTTTTTTTTGTATTTTTACACATGCCGCTGATTTAGGTCAAAAGATTTCCTTCATCTGATTACTACATAATCCATGTCTCTCCTGTTTCTGGTGATGGACATGTGCATGAAGTTGGGATAGATTAGTCCTTATCACAGGCACTTAATCAGTTTAGTCTCAATGTTTCAAGGGCGGGGGCCTTCAAGACATACAGTTTTCAAATTTTCAACTTTCTATAAAAGTTCAACAATATTTTTATGTAAAATATACCTGGTTAATTAATGAATTATCAAAATTGATGTTCTTTTTCTGACAAATTCACATCGCCTGTGCCAAATATTTTTGATAATCGCTGGAAATAACAATTTTTCATATTCTCTGTCTTCCTAATTATTTTTTGATTAAGCAGAAAAGGAGAGGTGGTTGGCCAAAGGGAAAGCGACGCAAACCTGCTCCTGACTTCAACACTCCTCGGGCACCTGCTTCTGGGTGAGTGTTACACTTTCAAAGGCAATTTTTGTTTTTGAAACATACCGACAATTATGTCACCTTTAGGGGTCTGTTATTGAGGTAGATTAACAAATCTTCAATTGGAATGTATCTCTTTCGAACTAATTGGATTAATAGTTTCTGTTTTATTTGTGAGATTGAACATTTTTGTCCCAATTAAAACAATTGTAGTCTATGATAATATGAAAGACTTTTCTAAAATGGTGACCATATTGATCCTAAAGTAAGAAAGAAATTCTATTCTCATCTGTAATGCTACATGTACTTGGGACTCCAGCAGATTTCTTTTGTGGAACTCATGAGAAGTACATTTGTTTTTCCCATCAACAATTTCTGTTAATTTCTTGAATCATCATAATTATAGTGATACATTTACATATCACAAAAGTTGTTCACTGAAATCATTTACATATATACTGGTGCATACAGTGAAATGTCCCTCAACTTTGTTTGCTAAAATATATGTGATGTAACATGCCTTTTTGAAATCATCTACACTTGTAAATTGTAGTCTTCATTAAGAGAAATATGGTGTGTCAATTATACTAATTTCTTTCAACCTTTCTAGGTATTTGCTGTATGCTATAGAGCGTCGACACGAGATCAAGGGGAGTAATCCAGAAATACCATTTTCGGAGGTGACCAAGATTCTGGGCCAGGAATGGTCTAACATGCTGGCAGAGAAAAAACAGGTGGAATATGAGGAAACAATGGAGTATTGATTTATTTTATAATTAAACTGCATTACAGTGTCACCACAATATCATATAAAGTTGTGATATTTTGGTATGTAACATGTAACATTTACCATTGTGACATCAAAAGGAACAGTACAATGGAGTCACGATTTCACGGTAAAGTCCACCTATGATTTTTGTGGTTCAGAATTTCAGAAAATGTGTAATTATACATGCTTTGGTGGAACATATGACAAAATTATTCTGAAAATCACCACAGTTCTATCTAAAAGCCCCATGCATCCTAGTGCACACATCACATGTGGCTTTGCTGACTTTGCAAGTCATCTTAATTATGACTTTAAAATAAAATAGTAATAAAGCCAGAACAAGTTATCAACAGTTAGTCTGTGACAGGAATTCCAATTATATTATTCTGTCATTGAAATATTGATGGGGCTTTTTTATTTGAAGAACAAACAGTTTGTCTACTTTGAAATGTAACATTTTCTGTGATTTACCAGATATTAGAATCATTTCAAGGTTTACCAGAAATCTGAAAGTTCATGATGTCCCTATTTCATAAACAAACAGCTCTGATCCAACAAGCTAAACCATTCCCAACATGATAAATAAAAGTGACCCAACTTCAACTTTTTCCATTTATATATTCTTTGCTGTACAGAAATACCTGGACGAGGCAGACAATGATAAGAAAAGATACAAAGAAGAACTGAAGACTTACCAAAGCACAGTCAAGAAAAAGAAAATGAAGGCTGGCATCAGAGGTAAACAAATGAAACAGGATTATCGGGGTAATGGGCACTTTTATTTATATAAAGGAGTTTTGTTTTATGTAAAAGTAAAATGCTGTAAGTTGAACAAAAGTTTTAAACTCATAAATATGACTGAAATGCTTTTTACCTGCTTTTGGTTCATGGTACAATACAATACACTGACCAATGCGAGACCTACAATACTTTACATATGATACTAGCATGATATTAATATATTATATATTATAAGAAATTATATAAGTTGACAATCCAATTCTCCAATCCATTCTATTTGTTACAGTTGTGACTGGAATGTTATACAAAGCTCTTTCAGAACATTTGAGCAGTCTAAAATCAATGCATTCTGCAAATGTTTAAAATAGCATTCAATGGAATTTTCTTACGTGCACTGAAGAGTGAATTATCGAGAAAGTAAGATTCTGATATACATGGAGACCAATATTTTACAGAATTACTGTATTCAATTTAAAATTCTCCTCATTGCACATGTTCAATGAAGTTTGGTTAAAAGGTCAAAGTTAGGGTAAATCGTTCAATTAAGTTTGGTTTAAAGGTCAAAGTTAGGGTGAATGGTTCAAGGTAATTTAGTTTAAAGGTCAAAGTTAGAGTGAATTGTTCAAGGGAATTTGGTTTAAAGGCCAAAGTTAGGGTGAATTGTTCAAGGGAATTTGGTTTAAAGGTCAAAGTTAGGGTGAATTGTTCAAGGGAATTTGGTTTAAAGGTCAAAGTTAGAGTGAATTGTTCAATGAAGTTTGGTTTAAAGGTCAAAGTTAGAGTGAATTGTTCAAGGTAATTTGGTTTAAAGGTCAAAGTTAGGGTGAATTGTTCAAGGGAATTTGGTTTAAAGGTCAAAGTTAGGGTGAATTGTTCAAGGGAATTTGGTTTAAAGGTCAAAGTTAGGGTGAATTGTTCAAGGAAATTTGGTTTAAAGGTCAAAGTTAGGGTGAATTGTTCAAGGTAATTTGGTTTAACGGTCAAAGTTAGGGTGAATTGTTCAAGGTAATTTGGTTTAAAGGTCAAAGTTAGGGTGAATTGTTCAAGGTAATTTGGTTTAAAGGTCAAAGTTAGATTGAATTGTTCAAGGTAATTTGGGTTAAAGGTCTCAAAGTTAGAGTGAATTGTTCAAAATAAATTGGTTTAAAGGTCAAAGTTAGGGTGAATTGTTCAAGGTAATTTGGTTTAAAGGTCAAAGTTAGGGTGAATTGTTCAAGGTAATTTGGTTTAAAGGTCAAAGAGGGGGTGAATTGTTCAAGGTAATTTGGTTTAAAGGTCAAAGTTAGGGTGAACTGTTCAAGGGAATTTCCCTTAAAGGTCAAAGCCTTGCTGGACTTATAACACTTGGTTCAACAAAATGAGACATTATTATGACAACATAAATAAAGTGTGGTTACCTTTGTTTTCCAGGAGAAGATGGTGGCTGGGAGACGGAGGAAAACTACTCTCAACTGATGTCTGTAGACATGGAGGTAATCTGTCTACTAATATAAAACACTTCCACTGATTATCTACTGTTGTGGAAGTACAGAAGTTATTGCTTAATTATATAAATTGACAGGGTCCTCAATTGATTTACTTATCACTACTTACATGAATTAACTTGAATAGAACGTTCCACGACAGTAAGAGTATACATAGCAACACTAGACTGTAAGACGTAGGCTACTGGGACACTTGCTTGAAGATCAAGGTCACAATTAAGGGTCAGATATCAAATCTAAAGACATTTTTTTATGTCATGGAGCATATTAATTGAAACATTTAATATTAACTTGGTAGAAATATCACCCACCATCATAAAGGAAGTATTCTGGGTCATTATGTTATCCTCACTCCAAGGTTGTCTGAAGAATCAATTCTTTAATACAGAAAAAATAATTGAATGTTCATACCAACTTGTAACATCACTAGTCAGTGTGGTTTTAGCAGACCCTTAGTCCAGATACATGTAACCGGGTACCAGGGCACAGAATGAGTGGGAAATCATTGGAGTCGGGGTTTACTTGTGCAGAGTGTTCCTGAAGAGATTTTGTTTAACAGACATATAAACTTTTCATGGTTCCTCTTTTAAGGTCATCATATTACAAGTTTTTGGATATAGAAAGGTTAATAGCTTGTTTTCCTTCCCTGCTGAAATGAGATTGATGAGCTCCATTTCATAACACAGTGTACAATGCTTTGCTTTTTCAGAACTTTACAAAAGTTTTTAGTAATTTATCTTACTGTTTGATCTGACAGGAGGATGGCCTGAATGATCTGTACTGCAGAATCTGTGACAAGTACTTCAGCTCACTACACAACAAAAAGGAACACATGTTAGGGCGACAACACGTTCAGAACATGGCAGGTGAGTCAAGATGACATGTTATGTAGCTTGTGGTACAGGTGAGTTGTTTAGATTTACAGTATTTACAGATACAATGTACCTGTTGTACAGGTGAGTTGTTTAGATTTACAGTATATACAGATACAATGTACCTGAATATAAACTGAGACTGTCTTTTATAGTAGTTAGAAATACCTGATGATAAATTAATAAATAATAATATACAACATTTGAAATAGCGCCCTATCTAGCTAACATAAGCTACTCTAAAGCACTTTACAGTACATAGATATACAATTAAACAAATAGCATATAATGTAAATAGAATTTTTGAGGAATTTGCAGGAGCTGCCTTATTAGGCGCTAACTACTATTCCTATGCCACCTGGCTAATATTTCCCTATGTGTGTATGCCTGCGTGTGTGCTGGAGATGTAATGTGTTCTGTTTGTAGTGGGGCCATGCTTCCAACGGCATCATTTATAGTGCCACCTCACTTGAATGCTGCAGCACAGATACCGCAACATCCACCCCAGACCAATTTATACTCCACCTGGGTTGTTGGAGTTGTGTGGGCAGGAGAAAAACAGTTGCTCTGAATATCCATCGTATGACAACTTAGGGATTGAATCCCCGCCGCCTGCGTGGAAGGCCGGAGTGTTAACCATTTGACCAATCTGCCCATAGTGAGGCTGTTTGTTGTGTTTTACATTATTTACAATACCTGATGATAAACTGAGGCTGTTTGAATGAGGTGAGATGTTTTATTTTACAGATGAGATGTTTTATTTTACAGGTGAGATGTTATGTTTTACAGTATTCAAAGATACCTGATTATAAATTGAGACATTTTTTTACAGGTGAGATGCAGAAAGAGATGATCAGTGCTTCTCAACCTTCGACTCTATCACCCACACAAAGAACCGTCCCACCTGATCTGGGTACTGACAGTAACCATTCAGATGGCCTCCCAGTAGGTGAAAAGGAGTCTCCACCCCTAGATATTGGCGGGTTTATACAGAACTTTATACAAGACAATTATGGTGAGAATGCCCAGCAAATATTCTGGAGTGCTAATGTGATTTGTTACTTATTTTTTATGTTTGAGTTATTTGAATTACATTTTCTTGCAATACCAACTTTAAAATTTAAGGAATATAATGGTAATGGATTTTAGGGTATAATTTGAACAGGATATTTTCAGAATATTTTGCTTTATAGTAACAATTCTCAACACCTACCAGTATATATGTGTGTATCATGTTTCACTCAAATCAGAAAAAAAATGTAAGCCCTACTATTACGATCTGTCTGAACTAAGTTCTTGAATTGGAAAGCAAAACACTTGGGGTAAGGAAAAACCTTGACTAAAAAAAATCCTTAGCTTAAAGAATGCACATGATACTGTGGCCAAAATATCTCCTCTCGACACATTGGCCAGATAAACTGTATTTAAGGAATGATTTTTTTTTTGTAGAACGGGATCTTGAATTACAAGAAATAAGAAAATCTTTAAAAAATATGCAAGAAGAAAACCTTTCTCTTTATAAGCAAATAAATGAATTGAAGGTGAGTAAAGTGATGCTGTCTCTCGTTAGGAGGGAGACTCCTTCATTTTGACAAAAATTTACCAATCTCCCTCATTCAAATCCAAACTCACACAAACTCAAAATCTACACCCTTGTGTTTGACGCACTTTCTCCCTCATTGGAAATTTGGAATGAAGGAGATCTCCCTCATCAGAGATTTCAGAGGTTGACACCTATGAAACACACATACTGATTCTATGATTTTGAAAGTCACATTAATTGTGAAGTAAAATTATATACGACTACAATGTAAGTGTGTGTAATTGAGAGAGCAGATTTTGTGTCTGCACTAGTAGTGTTTCCTCCCCTGCTTTCTGATAAAATTAAACCTGCTGGGACTTATTCTTGTAAGATACCTATCCGAGATGAATTGGTTACTTGAGGTCAGTTTTGTTCTGGTATACATGAAACCGTTCTCATGCTCAAGGATGGATTATGTGCTCAAACTGTCTTTTTTGTACTCACTTAAATCATGCGAGACAACCAAAATGTTAAGTGTTAAGATCTAAAATGGTATTCACCGGAACAAGAAATTGGGCTTGAGCACAGAATCTGAGTTTGAGCATGAAATTGGTTTCATGAATCCTAGATTTTTATCAAAATGCTCATAACTGAGTGATCAAACTGACCCATATACAGCAAATACTGCAGAATAATCCTGTGACTTCAATACAAGGTGTAGGACTGCCAGACTGTTGATTCAACTGACCCATATACAGCAAATACTGCAGAATAGTCCTGTGACTTCAATACGAGGTGTAGGACTGCCAGACTGTTGAAATAAATCTCCTGCATAATCAGAAAGCCTGTGTAATCTGGATCTTTACTTAGCTATATACTTCTACTACCATTCAGACACCCTCAGCAAATTAATTCAGATGAGCAACATCCTTAGGTGGAATGCATCAATTCTAGAGTATGTACCGATACCTATTTGTACCCCTTCGCCCCACCAGGAACAGGCCCCAGCTGCCTCTCTAAGTGTGATGAGTAGAGGGGCTTTAATTGTTTATGTTCTGATTCTTATGCGTCTGTGTTTTCAATGGCTCAATTAAAGCATAAAGAACTACTAAAGTGACTTTTCAATATTCTCAACCCAGACTTATCATACTTTTCTGCCTGCATGGCAGAGTGGGGAAAATGATTAGTGTCTTGCTCAAGAACACGGCAACTCCAGATAGTGGGTTTTTACTGCATGACCTTTCCTTGTATGGACTTAGGCATGACCACATGTTATTCAAGATTGCCCACTTAATATTTCTGTGTGATTTGGTCCCTTCGGTTAAGCCAATTTTCACTGATATTGTTATGCCAGGTACATCACATTGTCTTAAGCCTGTTTGCTAAAATTGAATTACACTGTTTGAAGACGACATGTTTTGGTGACTTTTGTAGATCTACCAGACTAAGTTGGAGGACGATATGGCCAATAATAAGGCTATCAGTGCTAACCTCTCCTCTCAGACAGACACTCTTAAAATGGTGCTGACACTCTTTGGCGTCATCAACTTCCAGGGCTGATGACTTTACTCATGTCATCAACTTCCCGGGCTGATGACTTTACTCATGTCATCAGCTTCCAGGGCTGATGACTTTACTCATGTCATCAACTGCTTGGGCTGATGATTTTATACTAGAAGATGTCACTGAATTCCCAGGATGGTGATTGGTGAATTGAAGAGGATTTTTTGTTTTTTCTTGTGTCATCAGTTTCCATGTCACATTTTCTGTGAGGGAGATCATTGGCAACTTACTATTTTCAGTGTATTTCTGTATCTTCTGTAAATGCTGTTGACATCAGTTTCCCAAAAACTGTCGTATTTTGTCGTTCAATGTCATCAATGTTCCAGCTGAATCTGAATATGCCGACACCATCCGATGTTTTGGATTTATTCAGATACAACTGAGAAAAAACTGGTAAGTTGCCAATGATCTCATGCACTCTATGAATCTAACCGTGTAAATTGTTTTGTTTCTCTTAAAGAAAAATACAACATGATATTTAATGGCCAAGGCATTGTGATATTGATAAAAATAGAGCACATCTTTTATTATCAATTTCTTATCAGTTATAGCGAGATGTATTAGTTAAAATGATGATAATGTTAACAGATCTAATTGGCCAAACCATAGTGTGATAACCTCAGAAGTAATCAGGTCTGCTTTGGGATAAAACACGGGAAGAGTTTTGTTTTGTATGCATATATGAACGATATGTGTTAATATCCATGTATTGAAAAGAACAAACAGGAATGAATAAATAATTATGAAAAGAATGAGTGGATGAATATAATTATATAAACGAATGTATGAATGAACATAAATATTTAAATGATTAAAGGTGAAATAATGAATACCATTATGAATGATTGGAAATGGCTGCATGACCAGATGGATAGATGAATTACATACTTATATGTAAATGGATGGCTGAAAAAATGGTATAGGAAATGAAAATGGTTTATGTATCTATTTAAGTTTGAATGAGTTGTTGTCTTGATGTAATAAAATCTATTAATTATCAAGACATATGGTTGATTAATTTGTGTTTAAGTCATGTCCTATAATTACCATAAACTCTCTATTTAGCACCCAATCCTCTAACAAGAGATCCCAGAGGGATCTTGGCGCCCACCTTTGTACCATCTTCATTAGTTCTTTGTCAGTTGGATCTTTTCTCTTTCCTCTAATTGGTTTTATCGAGTCATGTTAACAGTAAATGCACCTTGAGGTAACTTTTGATCTAAACTTAATACTGATGTGTATGAAAGCCAACGTTCAAAGTGAGTTTGTCATTTCACATATTTACTAGTACAGTACTTAATGTGAAAGAAATAGAATCGATCATTGCAATATGAGAAAGATCTGTTTAGTTCTTCTTTTAATCCATTTTGTTTTTATGATCAGTCTCAAAATATAACATACACAACGAGGGATCAAGGGGAACCTACATTTAAAATTTGAGAAAGATCCCTCCCGTACTTCCCGAGAAATAGTGATAACAAACTTTCACTATCAAAATCCAAGATGGCTACCTGTCGGCCATGTTGTTTATCGATCAGTCTCTAAAATTGCCCTGCACAGCTAAGACCAAGGGGAACCTACATACAAAATTTAAGAAAGATCCCTCTAGTTCTTCCGGAGAAATAGCGATAACAAACTTTCACTATCAAAATCCAATATGGCTGCCTGTCGGCCATGTTGTTTATCCGATCAGTCTCAAAAGTTGCCTTGCACAGCTAAGGACCAAGGGGAACATGCATATAAAATTTAAGAAAGATCACTCTAGTACTTCTTGAGAAATAGCGATAACAAACTCTCACTATCAAAATCCAAGATGGCTGATTGTCGGCCATGTTGTATATCTGATCAGTCTCAGAAGTTGCCTTGCACAGCTAAGTACCAAGGGGAACATGCATATAAAATTTAAGAAAGATCACTCTAGTACTTCTTGAGAAATACCGATAACAATAATTGTTTACGGACAGACGACGGACGGCGGCCGACGGACGGACCACGGACGCAGGGTGATTTGAATAGCCCACCATCAGATGATGGTGGGCTAAAAAGTACTTGTGGTTTGGGAATGTTGACAGATGTAGGACAATCATTTTTTATTAACGAGAAAAACACAATATATTTTTGTCAATATTTATAGAAATATCCTTATAAGAAAGTATGTGGTGAATATTAATCTTTCCAGGATCACTTGCATCATGACAGTGCCCAATGACAAGTTTACTGTAGACTGGCCTCTGATTGGGGAGAGTGTACAGCAGGGGAAGAGTGCTATTACAGAGAATTTAAATATACATGTCTAAGTCCACCAATAGAATCTCTATTCCCATATCATATTTTACAGATGTTATTAAATCTAGAAGCTCCCATTGGTTAGAGCAAATGTCTCGAGTTCAGAGGTACCAAGTTCGAAACCCAATCTTGCAATTGCATTTTTAGGTCACCTGAGCTTTAGCTCAAGTGACCTATTGCTATCCGTTTTCGTCCGTCGTCGTCCGTCGTCCGTTAACATTTTACATTTTAAACTTAAAGTCAAGTTCTACTGGGCCGATTGAACTGAAAGTTGGTAGGAATCATCGCCTCATGGTCCTGACAAAGTGTTGTTATTTTTCGGGTCGATCAGAAATCCAATATGGCCGCCACGGCCGCCATTTTGAAAACCTATTTCAAACTTAAAGTCAAGTTCTGCTGGGCCGATTGAACTGAAAGTTGGTAGGAATGATCGCCTCATGGTCCTGACAAAGTGTTGTTATTTTTCGGGTCGATCAGAAATCCAATATGGCCGCCACGGCCGCCATTTTGAAAACCTATTTCAAACTTAAAGTCAAGTTCTGCTGGGCCGATTGAACTGAAAGTTGGTAGGAATGATCGCCTCATGGTCCTGACAAAGTGTTGTTATTTTTCGGGTCGATCAGAAATCCAATATGGCCGCCACGGCCGCCATTTTGAAAACCTATTTCAAACTTAAAGTCAAGTTCTGCTGGGCCGATTGAACTGAAAGTTGGTAGGAATGATCGCCTCATGGTCCTGACAAAGTGTTGTTATTTTTCGGGTCGATCAGAAATCCAATATGGCCGCCACGGCCGCCATTTTGAAAACCTATTTCAAACTTAAAGTCAAGTTCTGCTGGGCCGATTGAACTGAAAGTTGGTAGGAATGATCGCCTCATGGTCCTGACAAAGTGTTGTTATTTTTCAGGTCGATCAGAAATCCAATATGGCCGCCACAGCCGCCATTTTGAAAAACTATTTCAAACTTAAAGTAAAGTACTACTTGGCTGATTGAACTGAAACTTTGTAGGAATGATCGAATCATGGTCCTGACAAAGTGTTGTTATTTTTCGGGTCAATCAGAAATATGATGTGGCTGCCATAGCCGCTATTTTGTAAATACCTATTTCAAACTTAAAAACAAGTTCTAATAGGCCGATCTCACTTAAAATTGGTCTAGGAACGATCAGCTCATGGTCCTGACAAAGTTAAGTTAACATTATACTTAACTATTTTTTACTCGAATTGGTACATATTTTAACATCAAAAACAAATACTGTAGGACTCAGGTGACCGTTAAGGCCCATGGGCCTCTTGTTCTTTTTCTGTTGCCAATGAATCTATGAATCTAACCGTGTAAATAGTCTACTCTGGAAACAAATGCCAATATAAAAGGTATTGTATCTAGTCACTTTGGAATGTGATTTTTTTCTCCCATATATTACAGAGCAAATTTGTGAAAAAGGCCAAAGGTTGACAATTTTGTGGGCAAAAATATTGTGATACATGTATATAATATCATAATAATAATAATCTTTATTTAACGTTGTGTACAATCGTCAACAACAAACATATGCTCTGTAGAGCTTTTATTACGACGCCGCTAAGGGAACAAATGGTGTTTTCGTGGTGGAGGAAAACCTACGGGGGGGAAAACCAGCGTGCCATCAGAGGGATAACAACTAACCCTATCAGACATCACTCTCATTTTTCCACCACTGCTGGGGATCGAACCGAAATTCTTGGGGAGAGCGAGTGGTCTGAAGCTCACGCTTGATTGCAGACAGTAGTACATAGATTGTGCGTGTTAGCGATCACGGCTACCGAGGCACCCTCAGTTCACATAGCAGATCAAACACAACAAAGGAGTCTGTAAACTGTACATGGTTTTTAATATCAAAGCATATAGCAGTAAGGTCAATATATCTCATTCAAAATAAAAATAGAAGGACACGCTATCAAAGCGTGTTGCTTAAACCATAAAATAACGTACATTGTAAGTAACAATCTGATAGTGATACTAACTTCATGATCAACTACATTTCTCGAACAACTTAAACCATTGTGTTAACAACTTGTTATTCAATTGTTTGACATTACTTTCCAACCCAAAGTCTGACTGGCAATCTTCTTGCATAATACTTCTTGGCCTTGGTATTGAACTTACATAGTAACACAATTAGTCAAATGTAGTTAAAATACATGTAGTAAGTCAAAACATGATTTACAATCTTTATAGCCTGTAACTAATGAAGCTGTGAGATGAATCTTTGATTTAGGAAAGAATCTTTAAATCTAGGGCAAAACTTAAGTTTACGACAGGGACTGAAAAAAATCCATTTGAAGCGTTAATCCATCCAGCAATTATAATACCAAATGGAGCCTACCAACAACATGTCTTGAACCACAAAGTGAACATGTTTTAAAGTGCAGGATATGCTGATTCAGACAACCATATACACAGCATTACTAATCTGCCTCCGATAGTGTTTCTCACTCGCTGGACCTGATTTTCAGCTCACATGCACATTTCCGAAGAAGTTAATGTCTCATACAGCGACAGTTATCTTGATTTTCCAATTTGTCGGTAGCTCAGTCCGGCAATGTTTATACTTAGATCAACCAACATTGAAACAAGTTTGCATTAAAATAATTTGTATATTTCTAAAATACAGATATAACCCCCAACCCCTATTCAGGACAAAATGTATGCTTGATGCTATGAACTTGATTCTTCTTTCTGTTTCTTCACCTTTTCCTTTACAGCAGCATTTAGACCTTCACGATTCCTTGCTATCTCTATGGCCAGAAACTGGATTCTTAAAACTGCAAATAAATGGAACGAAGTAAAATGGTAGCAATGATTGACCCGAAAAAAGATATATAACATTTTAAAGGAATTTCATGTGACAATTTGATTTGGTTACAACAGAAGACGCTGGCAGTGGGTGTTCATGCAATGTCTTGGCCTCTATATACAGCAAAACCACCAAAACCGCATACCGCCATTAATTAACTCGGAACGGATTTCCCCCGTTAATGCACCAGTTGTAACGCCTAACCCACATACCACCATCCACCATCATATTCCCAATACAAATAAATAAAATCACACTATTTTGACCTCGTTAAATACCACCAATTTGAGTCGAGTACAGGTATATCCCGATGACAGGAATGTTATGTACGTGTGTACATTGTATTGTTACAAGTGACTCCCGACTGACCAGGTAATCAGCTGTATGGTTGTGTTTACATAAAATTGTTAAACCATAGCTAGACGTCATTAATTAAACATTTTTTGTGTGTGACACTTCTATAAATATTGTATTAGGTATGTTTTTTACACTCAACAAGTTGATACATTAAATGATAATTTTGAAAAAAAAACATATTCTGAAGTTTATTATTACTTTTTTAAAAGTATAAGTTCAGTTGGTGTGTGAACACTTCGCTTCAAAATGGTAAACTTGATATACTGCCAAACTCTTTATACCGCCAAAATCACAGGGGACAGAAGGTGGCGTATAACGAGGTTTTACTGTAATGTCTCAATCTCCAAGATAGTTAATGTATCTCACCATCAGGATGTATCATGGTAACCTGGATAACCTTATAATCAACAGAATTCTCTTTCATTATTCATATTTAGCGTATTGAGAATGTGATGCACTGCACACCTTTGGTGGGTGATGCACTGCACACCTTTGGTGGGTGATGCAGGTATCAGGTTCACTCAAGGTGTCTTTCATGGTTTGAAAGTTATGGTACGTACAAAATTTCACAGGCAAATTTTGCATTTACTTAACCTTTGACCTTGAAGTGAAGGCCACAGTGACCTATTATGACACAGTACACATCTCCTGTGGCTGATGCAGGTATACTTCAAGTTCCATCAAAATGGCTTTAAAAGGTTAAATGTTATAATCCGAATGATATTTCACTTTAAAATTTGCACTTATTTAACCTTTGACCTTGAGGTCAAGATCACATTGACCTAATTACAGAATAGTGTACACCTTAGTTGATGATGCAGGTACCTTCAAGTTTCATGGAGATTTTTTCCAATATTTAAAAGCTATGGTCTGGGTAAGATTTTGGAGCAAATTTTGCATTTGTTCTACCTTGAGGTGAAGATGCCAGTGACTTAATGCTCGCCTCCTGAGGGATGATGTAGGTTTACAGAGTTTATTGAGTTAACCTTTACAGTAACGGATGGACAAGATTATGTTAGAGGAAGAACCAGTACTAATACAATAGATCCCTTCATTTGAAGGGGACTCACAATGAAACTAAAGAAAATCACCAAGGATCTCTATATAACCTGCTCCTAACAGTGACCTTGACCTACGCCAGATCAACCTGTAAGAGGAAACATACCTGTACAGTTTCATAATAATCTGGCATGAAATATGCCACTTTAGTGATGACAAACTTGTGACAGACAAACAGATGGAAGAGACAAATGGATATTACTGTCCATCGTGTAGCAGGGGCATACTATTTAACAAATTAATTGCGGTGCTACAATGTGATTATAACTCTAGTAAAGTCTCCATGAGAACTTTATATTTACCCAGAACTGTGTTGTCATCAGAGATATCCCCAGTACAATCTTTGCGTACAAGTGTTCCAAAGTTGTAATCCTCTACTTCACCTTCATAGCTCTGTACAAATGGGCGCCATGTCTGTAATAATGAAGTTTTACTAAATCAAGCAAATTCCTGTTTTATTTAGGACTTCAGATTTATCTTACAATAACAAGAAAAGGAAGCTTGTGTTAAAATGACAGAAAGCAGTTGGTTAATTTAGTACATAAATATGACAGGATGCTTTAAAATAGAAGAATGCATTTTGATGACAATAATAATTGGAGACGATTATAACTAATATTGGAGAAAATACATGCAACCATTTCAGGATCACTGTTCCTCTGCACTCAATTTTTTTTGGTATAGAGAAATCTCCCCTTAACTGATTTACTATAGCACAGCTGGGTCATGACACTTCCATTGATCAGGCAGCTTGGTCGGTTACACAGTTGTATAACAATCTGAAGTCCAGGGTTCTGATCTCAGTCTAGCCCCATGGAAGTGTTACACTCGGTACACAGCTGTATAACAATCTGAAGTCCAGGGTTCTGATCTCAGTCTAGCCCCACAGAATTGTTACACTCGGTACACAGCTGTATAACAATCTGAAGTCCAGGGTTCTGATCTCAGTCTAGCCCCACAGAATTGTTACACTCGGTACACAGCTGTATAACAATCTGAAGTCCAGGGTTCTGATCTCAGTCTAGCCCCACAGAATTGTTACACTCGGTACACAGCTGTATAACAATCTGAAGTCCAGGGTTCTGATCTCAGTCTAGCCCCACAGAATTGTTACACTCGGTACACAGCTGTATAACAATCTGAAGTCCAGGGTTCTGATCTCAGTCTAGCCCCACAGAATTGTTACACTCGGTACACAGCTGTATAACAATCTGAAGTCCAGGGTTCTGATCTCAGTCTAGCCCCACAGAATTGTTACACTCGGTACACAGCTGTATAACAATCTGAAGTCCAGGGTTCTGATCTCAGTCTAGCCCCACAGAATTGTTACACTCGGTACACAGCTGTATAACAATCTGAAGTCCAGGGTTCTGATCTCAGTCTAGCCCCACAGAATTGTTACACTCGGTACACAGCTGTATAACAATCTGAAGTCCAGGGTTCTGATCTCAGTCTAGCCCCACAGAATTGTTACACTCGGTACACAGCTGTATAACAATCTGAAGTCCAGGGTTCTGATCTCAGTCTAGCCCCACAGAATTGTTACACTCGGTACACAGCTGTATAACAATCTGAAGTCCAGGGTTCTGATCTCAGTCTAGCCCCACAGAATTGTTACACTCGGTACACAGCTGTATAACAATCTGAAGTCCAGGGTTCTGATCTCAGTCTAGCCCCACAGAATCGTTACACTCGGTACACAGCTGTATAACAATCTGAAGTCCAGGGTTCTGATCTCAGTCTAGCCCCACAGAATTGTTACACTCGGTACACAGCTGTATAACAATCTGAAGTCCAGGGTTCTGATCTCAGTCTAGCCCCACAGAATTGTTACACTCGGTACACAGCTGTATAACAATCTGAAGTCCAGGGTTCTGATCTCAGTCTAGCCCCACAGAATTGTTACACTCGGTACACAGCTGTATAACAATCTGAAGTCCAGGGTTCTGATCTCAGTCTAGCCCCACAGAATTGTTACACTCGGTACACAGCTGTATAACAATCTGAAGTCCAGGGTTCTGATCTCAGTCTAGCCCCACAGAATTGTTACACTCGGTACACAGCTGTATAACAATCTGAAGTCCAGGGTTCTGATCTCAGTCTAGCCCCACAGAATTGTTACACTCGGTACACAGCTGTATAACAATCTGAAGTCCAGGGTTCTGATCTCAGTCTAGCCCCACAGAATTGTTACACTCGGTACACAGCTGTATAACAATCTGAAGTCCAGGGTTCTGATCTCAGTCTAGCCCCACAGAATTGTTACACTCGGTACACAGCTGTATAACAATCTGAAGTCCAGGGTTCTGATCTCAGTCTAGCCCCACAGAATTGTTACACTCGGTACACAGCTGTATAACAATCTGAAGTCCAGGGTTCTGATCTCAGTCTAGCCCCACAGAATTGTTACACTCGGTACACAGCTGTATAACAATCTGAAGTCCAGGGTTCTGATCTCAGTCTAGCCCCACAGAATTGTTACACTCGGTACACAGCTGTATAACAATCTGAAGTCCAGGGTTCTGATCTCAGTCTAGCCCCACAGAATTGTTACACTCGGTACACAGCTGTATAACAATCTGAAGTCCAGGGTTCTGATCTCAGTCTAGCCCCACAGAATTGTTACACTCGGTACACAGCTGTATAACAATCTGAAGTCCAGGGTTCTGATCTCAGTCTAGCCCCACAGAATTGTTACACTCGGTACACAGCTGTATAACAATCTGAAGTCCAGGGTTCTGATCTCAGTCTAGCCCCACAGAATTGTTACACTCGGTACACAGCTGTATAACAATCTGAAGTCCAGGGTTCTGATCTCAGTCTAGCCCCACAGAATTGTTACACTCGGTACACAGCTGTATAACAATCTGAAGTCCAGGGTTCTGATCTCAGTCTAGCCCCACAGAATTGTTACACTCGGTACACAGCTGTATAACAATCTGAAGTCCAGGGTTCTGATCTCAGTCTAGCCCCACAGAATTGTTACACTCGGTACACAGCTGTATAACAATCTGAAGTCCAGGGTTCTGATCTCAGTCTAGCCCCACAGAATTGTTACACTCGGTACACAGCTGTATAACAATCTGAAGTCCAGGGTTCTGATCTCAGTCTAGCCCCACAGAATTGTTACACTCGGTACACAGCTGTATAACAATCTGAAGTCCAGGGTTCTGATCTCAGTCTAGCCCCACAGAATTGTTACACTCGGTACACAGCTGTATAACAATCTGAAGTCCAGGGTTCTGATCTCAGTCTAGCCCCACAGAATTGTTACACTCGGTACACAGCTGTATAACAATCTGAAGTCCAGGGTTCTGATCTCAGTCTAGCCCCACAGAATTGTTACACTCGGTACACAGCTGTATAACAATCTGAAGTCCAGGGTTCTGATCTCAGTCTAGCCCCACAGAATTGTTACACTCGGTACACAGCTGTATAACAATCTGAAGTCCAGGGTTCTGATCTCAGTCTAGCCCCACAGAATTGTTACACTCGGTACACAGCTGTATAACAATCTGAAGTCCAGGGTTCTGATCTCAGTCTAGCCCCACAGAATTGTTACACTCGGTACACAGCTGTATAACAATCTGAAGTCCAGGGTTCTGATCTCAGTCTAGCCCCACAGAATTGTTACACTCGGTACACAGCTGTATAACAATCTGAAGTCCAGGGTTCTGATCTCAGTCTAGCCCCACAGAATTGTTACACTCGGTACACAGCTGTATAACAATCTGAAGTCCAGGGTTCTGATCTCAGTCTAGCCCCACAGAATTGTTACACTCGGTACACAGCTGTATAACAATCTGAAGTCCAGGGTTCTGATCTCAGTCTAGCCCCACAGAATTGTTACACTCGGTACACAGCTGTATAACAATCTGAAGTCCAGGGTTCTGATCTCAGTCTAGCCCCACAGAATTGTTACACTCGGTACACAGCTGTATAACAATCTGAAGTCCAGGGTTCTGATCTCAGTCTAGCCCCACAGAATTGTTACACTCGGTACACAGCTGTATAACAATCTGAAGTCCAGGGTTCTGATCTCAGTCTAGCCCCACAGAATTGTTACACTCGGTACACAGCTGTATAACAATCTGAAGTCCAGGGTTCTGATCTCAGTCTAGCCCCACAGAATTGTTACACTCGGTACACAGCTGTATAACAATCTGAAGTCCAGGGTTCTGATCTCAGTCTAGCCCCACAGAATTGTTACACTCGGTACACAGCTGTATAACAATCTGAAGTCCAGGGTTCTGATCTCAGTCTAGCCCCACAGAATTGTTACACTCGGTACACAGCTGTATAACAATCTGAAGTCCAGGGTTCTGATCTCAGTCTAGCCCCACAGAATTGTTACACTCGGTACACAGCTGTATAACAATCTGAAGTCCAGGGTTCTGATCTCAGTCTAGCCCCACAGAATTGTTACACTCGGTACACAGCTGTATAACAATCTGAAGTCCAGGGTTCTGATCTCAGTCTAGCCCCACAGAATTGTTACACTCGGTACACAGCTGTATAACAATCTGAAGTCCAGGGTTCTGATCTCAGTCTAGCCCCACAGAATTGTTACACTCGGTACACAGCTGTATAACAATCTGAAGTCCAGGGTTCTGATCTCAGTCTAGCCCCACAGAATTGTTACACTCGGTACACAGCTGTATAACAATCTGAAGTCCAGGGTTCTGATCTCAGTCTAGCCCCACAGAATTGTTACACTCGGTACACAGCTGTATAACAATCTGAAGTCCAGGGTTCTGATCTCAGTCTAGCCCCACAGAATTGTTACACTCGGTACACAGCTGTATAACAATCTGAAGTCCAGGGTTCTGATCTCAGTCTAGCCCCACAGAATTGTTACACTCGGTACACAGCTGTATAACAATCTGAAGTCCAGGGTTCTGATCTCAGTCTAGCCCCACAGAATTGTTACACTCGGTACACAGCTGTATAACAATCTGAAGTCCAGGGTTCTGATCTCAGTCTAGCCCCACAGAATTGTTACACTCGGTACACAGCTGTATAACAATCTGAAGTCCAGGGTTCTGATCTCAGTCTAGCCCCACAGAATTGTTACACTCGGTACACAGCTGTATAACAATCTGAAGTCCAGGGTTCTGATCTCAGTCTAGCCCCACGGAATTGTTACACTCGGTACACAGCTGTATAACAATCTGAAGTCCAGGGTTCTGATCTCAGTCTAGCCCCACGGAATTGTTACACTCGGTACACAGCTGTATAACAATCTGAAGTCCAGGGTTCTGATCTCAGTCTAGCCCCACGGAATCATTACACTCGGTACACAGTTGTATAACAATCTGAAGTCCAGGGTTCTGATCTCAGTCTAGCCCCACGGAATCATTACACTCGGTACACAGCTGTTTATAATATCATATTCAATGATTTACCAAAGATATAGTCAACCTAGAAAAGACAGTTTCCAATCCATAGTTACTGTTTTTGACCGCGGTACAGGGATCCTTAATCAAACTCACACCAAGTTTGGGATTTCGGGTCCAAATTTTCATTTAGATAATTTGCTTATAGTTACATTATGCAGACAGTGCTTGTTCCTCGGAAAGGTATTATTATAAGTGTAAATGTCAACTTACAGATTTTGCATCAGTTGTCTTGAGTTCATCTTCCTTAAGGACATCAATAGCCATGTTTGGGAAAGCCTGCCGAAAGTTTTTGTAAATCTCATCATCTTTGTTTGTCAGTTTCAGCAGCGAGGAGTCAACAGAACACAACAGCTATAGTGAATACAAAATTGTCAAATGTTATTTTTGGCAAACAAATATTTTTTTGTAAAATTAATCAAACCAAATCATTCTAATAAAGGCCAAGTTTGCCAGGAAAATCAAAGAATCAATTTTGGTAAGGAGGAAAGGGGATTTGATGAACATAGAGGGAGGGGGATGCCAGCTGAGTGATCTTTATGATCCCGTTTTAACATCCACATGTAAACATGTCACCCATCCCCTTGACTGCCTGCAGTATTAGAGTGCAATTGGGCGAAATGTCTCTATGATTTTTGACAACTGACTTGTTCTGATTTGGCAAACAGTGAGTTGTTTCCAGCTGTTTCGTATTGAGACACACCAGTCATTTGCACGCTTGGCTTGACCAAGCTTTTTCAAGCTGAATTCCTGTTCATCTTCAAAACAAACTTTATTATTCATACCAAACTGATGAATCTTATTCGAAATAGCAAATCATTCTAAATTTATCTAAATAATGACATTACTATATTGACAGCTTAATGATGATATGCATACTTGAGAAACAAGAGTCCCAATGGGCCTGCATCGCTTACCTGGTATCGATCTCAAACTTGTAACCTTAAAAGTGGACTAAAATAAAGCTACATGTAAAATATCCTTATTTATGACTATTTATCATTAAAAAGAACCTGTTAAAAAAATTACAGACTTATTTGACCCCTGTGACTTTGAAAGTCGACCAAGATCATTGTGTTGAAGAAACTTTATAGCCCTTCATCTCAATATCAGGGATCGACACTAACGCTAGCCCGGGGCTAATAGAAATTCATGTCGGGCTACCAGAATATGTTTCATCACTAGCCCGATGGGCTAGTAAGATTAGAAGCACTTTACACTAGATAATTCAAGTTCCTTTTACAAACAACGACCTATTTATTGATAACAACAGCAGAGTCCCAGCTTGAGCCTCCAAGAAAGAAGTCGACGCTGAACAGTGTAAAAAATGTTAGTATGCTGACAAAAAAATATTCATTTGAAGCGTAAGATACTGCAAAATTCAAGCCTTTATCCGATTTGGGTCCTGACATTCGCAAAAACCGGAGACGCTGATTAGTGACTTCAGAGCGTTCTATAAATATCTCATGTGAGCCCCGGGTGCTAATTTCATTTATAAGAACACCCATCAGATTCTTCCTTTGATACAACCATAAATGAATATAATTCCTCTTCATATTTTTCAATGAATTAACAAAATGATGGTTTGGTGATCCAATTTGATTTGGGTACTGTCACCTTACAGTATATCGTTGTACAAAATTCAATTGTAAACTAGACGGATAGTTACAGTACACGTCAATCAACTCATCACTGGTAATAGTATTACAAATGTGATCATTTCCCCCAAAATATGTCTTAAGAGCCGAGATACATGTTTTTGTAATTTAAAAATATGGAAAAAAATCCTGAATTTGTACTTTTAGCACTGTACTAGAAACTGCTTACTGCAGTACAATAAAAAATACTTTAATCATGGGTTACCAGTTTGAGATTGAAAAATGAAAAATTCTGGGTCAAAAACAAGTTTTTTGTTACTGAAAAAAATCCTTAATAACAGTGTAGAAAAGGCTCAGGAGCCAGCATTTTGCATCTACACTTTAATCTACACCCCCCTCCCGAACCCCCCTCCCTTGCTACGCTTGTCAGCCAAGGTGTTTCGCATCTTGGATGAATCGCAAACCGGGCTACCAAAATTATTTTTTTACTAGCCCAATGGGCTACTATTGTATAAACTTAGTGTCAAACCCTGAGTATGCAACTTGCCAAATATAACCACCCTAGACCTTTAGTATATTGAGATTAGGTCATACTGGCAAAATATCAACATTTTTGGTATTTGGTTATTCAGAAGAAGTTGTTTTAAAGGTTTAAAACATATTTTACCCTGTGACCTTGAATAAAGGTCAAGGTAATTCATTTTGAAGACTTTGTAGCCCTTCATCAAAGCCTGTTACTGGACAGATATCAACATTCCTGGCCTTATTGTTATTCAAAAGATGTGGTTTAAAGGTCATTGATTTGAACAAACTTTGAAGCCCTTCAGAGGATGTCATTTAAAGGTTTTAAACATATCTGACCCCTGTGACCTTGAATATAAGTCAAGGTAATTCATTTGAACAAACTTTGTAGCACCTAATACCAGTATGTTACTGGCCAAATATTATCAGCATGGCCTTTTTGATTATTCAGAAGATGATGGTTAGAGGTTAAACACATAGTTGACCCCTGTGACCCTGACTTAAAGTCAAGGTCATTCATTTCAACAAACTTGGTAGTCATTCATCCAAGCATGTTTCTGGCCAAATATCATCCTGGACCTTTTGGTTATTCAGAAGAAGCTGTTTGAAAGTTTTTGAAGATAATTGAACCCTATGACCTTGATTATGAGTCAAGGTCATTGATTTGACCAAACTTAGTAGCCCTTCATGCCTGCATGTTACTGGCTAAATATGATCCCCCTGGTTCTTTTGCTTAATCAGAAGAAGTTGTTAAAAGATTTTAAACAGATTTGACCCTTGTGGATTTGAACAAACTTGTAAGGCCTTCATCCCAACATGCCACTGGCCCAATATCATCAGCCTGGGCCTTTTGATTAGTCAGCAGAAGTCGTGTATATATTTTAAACATATTTGACCCCTGTGACCTTGAATATAGGTCAAGGTCATTGATTTGACCAAAAAAGGTATCCCTTCATCTACGCATGATTCTGGCCAATATCATCACCTGTGGCCTTTTGGTTATTCAGAAGTTGTTGGAAAGTTTTTTAAGATAATTGACCCGTGACCTTGAATATGAGTCAAGGTCACTGATTTGAACAAACTTGGTAGCCTTTCATCCAAACATGCAACTTACTAAATATAATTTTCCTGTGCCTTTTGGTTATTCAGAAGAATTTGTTCATAGATGTTAAACATATTTGACCCCTGTAACCTTGAAAATATGTGAAGGTCATTCATTTGAACAAACTTGGTAGTCCTTCATCCCAGCATGCTACTGGCGGAATACCATCACCCTAGGCGTCTTGGTTGTTCAGAAGTTGTTTAAAGTAAAAAGTTGACGGGCCAAGTAAGCTAAAAACTATCATGACCTGCACAAATATTTCCCATGGTTGCATGAAAATGTGTTTATGTATGCTCATATGATTAAAAAACATTCAATGATAGTCTGTGTATTTTTAATTTTTGTAGTTAAAAAAAAAATGAAATTGGGAAATTGATAACAGTGTATTTGATCATTTAGAATATGCAAGTTATTTGTTTGTCTTAGAAAGTTTACTTACATTGAAATATGTTTCTGCATGATGGTATGCTTTCATAGCCCACTGCATTTCAAGGCTTGCCTAAAATATATCAATATGCACTACAGTCCATGATTATACCAGGTAGATATATAATACCAATAAAAATTCATGTATTACTTAACTTTTTAAAAGTTGCAGTTTCAAAGAAACAAATTTAAATTAAAGTCAAACCTGCATTTAAAAGTAATATCAATGGCATATATTTCACACATAATCTTATTACATTTAGTTATTGTATAGTGCACACCCACTTACATCGTTCACATATTTAGAGGCGTCTGTACTGAGAGCACTCGCTGCTGATGTCATCTGATTCACATTCTATCAAAATAAAAAATAAAAAACATGTACATTGTATCATACAGACTATTTTGATTGACGACTTTATTAGATTTCTATGAAAATACACCTTCCAGTTGTTTCAGGTTCCAAGTGTAATGACAACCTTAAATGAAGAGCACATGGTATATATCCCTTGAACAGAACTGTATGTGACAAAATATAACTAGCGATCAAGTTCCAAAAAAGGAGGAACCTGCATGTACAGACAGTTTGACAAGTTTTTAGCACTAGTTTCCTCTGGCCCTGACACCAGACTTAGACATTTTGACAGATAAAAGGCTGGTGTAGTCAAAATGTCCTAGACTTGTGTCAGGACCACAGGAAACTCGGGCTAACAAATTTTGCTCGACAGAAATCATGCAGAAATGTTGGTATTCCTTTTTCATGTAAATACTGACAAGTATTTATTTTGTGTATTTCTGAGGAAACACCCAATTTACACGTCTTATTTACCGATGGCGATGGCAATAAATATGACTGTTACGCAAATTGAAAACAGCTATCGATAACAACGATCCTGACAATCTGTCAAACGCTGGCATTTGCTCGTTCAAATGCCTACGATAAAAGAACAAAGAAATTGTATATATCTTCTCAGTTTCTTTGATAAGGTTGTGCTGATCGTTATTAAATTTACCAGTCCTTCCAAACCGAAAGACATGCTGCCTTTTGGTGTTTCTTCGTTATATGTACGCTTTAAAATGCTTGCATTGAAAGGCTGTTTGAAACAAACGCATGCTAGATCTAGGTACTGGATTATCTAAATGTTGGAATAAAATATCCGACAATGTATTGTCATAGTAATTATTATGAGAATAGATATCGTAGAATGCATCGATATTAACATTCTTTTTAATTAAAACGCTGTGCAATACATTTTTAATGAATTTATAGCAACACAAATATATTTCAGTATATTTCCGGATAATATTAGTTGGATTTGCGAACTAGACTATCCTTGACTGTTCACTTTAAATTATCGAGGATATCCATACGCATTTTAATAATGTGCGTAGAAAAATGCAAAATTGATACAGCAACGTATAATTAGATGACTTCAAATAGCTGCACGTAGTACATAGGAAACATTTAATAGATTTATTATTTAGAAAAAGATTATTTTTAAGAACTACTTTTTGCGTAATGGGTTCCTGTTTATGGATGCTGTTCGGTCTTCCACGACTGCTAAGATTTCCGTATTTTGGTCAAATATTGGTTACAAATGAAAACGTTTACTACAGATGCGTTAATGCATCATCATGTCGCTTGATGCTCCTAATCAAGAAGAAAACAATTCAGAAAATGGTGACTTGGGTCTTGGTGAAGGGTTACGGCCCGGATCCCTCCCAAAAATATTAAAAGGTTGGAAAGTAAAGAAAACTAAACAGAAGGAGAAATACTTACCAGATGATTTTTATTGTGGTGATCTGCATCCTCCAATACAGAGTAAATCACGACTGACATTTCCTAGAAAGACGAGAACACAAAGTCATTCTTCAATAGATTCCGATGATATGAGTGAAAATGACAAGGGCAATGATAACTTCCCAACGTTTGCTGATATTCCATATGGAACTTCACTAAAGCAACAAAAACGACTTTTTGAAAAAGACCTGTCAAATATAAGACAAAGATGCCAATCTTTAGATTCATCTTCACAGCTTTTTCTCTCCGATGGTAATTCAAAAAGTAAGTAATGAAAAAAGACCTACTATGTAAATTGTATTTAATTTTCTGGAAAAAATGGACTTGTTGATTCATTTAGCATTTGGCAATTGCCTTTGATGCAGAATTTAAATACATATATACATGTCGCTAAATATGTTACCAAATTAAAACAGATTTGGTTTTTTCAGCAAAACTTCAGAGAAGTCTAAGCAGAGATGCAATAGAAAAAAAGTTACTGGAAGCAGAACAGGTGAGAACATATTATAGTCAAAACATTGTATATTATATGGTAGTGTGTTGACCCATGGAATTAGATTATGCTATCTTAGTGTGTGATTTACCCCTACCTTTTTGTATTTATTTATTTTTCTGCTTTATCAAATATAAGTATGGCTATATCGTCTAGAACTGTAATTCTTGGCATTCTTGAAGAATATCATTTAATCCAGTTGGTATATCTTAATTACATGCATGCATTATTTCAGTTTGATATTATATATGGTTTAAAAATTGTTTTTCAAGATGACAGTATTTTTTGTTTTAAAAAATATGCATATATGGTATGGTATTAACAGTAAAACCTGTTAACATGAAACTAAAAACAAAATTAGGTAATCATACCCTGGGTTATTAATTATAAAATTGGTCAGTTTCATTGCATCCTGTTAATGTCATGACATTTGTGTCATTTCTTGGGGGTTAAATGTGAAATAATAAAAGCAGGGATAATCCTGTGGCGGGGGGGGGGGTAGTCATGAGGCCATTGACCCCTTAAAACTGAAATTGACCCCTCCATGTTCCAATTTTCTTTAAATTTTATTTAGAAAGGTATTGATATTGACTAAAACTTGCTGAAAATGGCCCACTGCTCTCAAAGAAATGATAAAAAATATAAAAGAAATGTGACACATTAACCAACAAGTTATTTTCATATATATGAAGTTGGAAAAAAATGAATATATCACTTATTAGAAATAAATTTATAATTACTGCATATATATATATATATACAACCTATGTACATAACCAGGCTAGGTAAGTTAAGACACCTCTTGAACAGCTTCTAATCTCTTGTTTTACACTAAACCAAGTTAGTTGGGTAAAAGCATACCCATGGCAATTACAAGAAAAGTATTTTTTATGTGTTATATACAGTAACAGAGAAGAGAACATGACAACTCAAGTGACTAGAAATACATGCACAATATACAGTACAGTAAAAGACAATCATAGGCAAAATTATTGAACTGTCCGTTGTTCGTGTCCTGTGTTATCTCCCTTTAAACATGATAGGTTATGTTAGAGATAAACAGAGAGGCATAATGAATGTCCGTTATACCTTCCCTGAGTTATCTCCCTTTCACTACAAAATAAAATAATGATTGTGTTCATTAAACTAAACAATCATGGAAATTTGTATACAAACATTTTCCCAGTTCCTGCAATATTGTCAATTTATACAAGAAAATTGATATGAACAGAAATTTGATATTAGTGGAATATATTGCATTATGCACTAACATAAACTTCGCCAGAGTTTCCTCTGATACCAACTTAGACATTTTGACAGATAGATGTCTAGTGTGGGATGACACCAGACGCCTATCTGTCAAAATGTCTAAGTTGGTATCGGGGCCAGAGGAAACTTGGACTAACTACTGGGTAAAACAAGGAATTGAACATCAACATGAAAGTTTGATTTGAGCTTGACTGACGTTTTATAATTATCAGGGACTTATAACTTTACCAGAGATGGTCACCAGGACAAAGTTGATATAAACAGTTTACAAAATGATACATGTATGACTACTGTTTTAGCACCACCTATGATCATACAGTGTTTTATATGAAAAATTCACATTTTATTTTGCATGTGGCTATAGGAAGTGGAAGAACTGAAGAATGATCTGGAAATATATCATAAACGACTAGAAGCAAAATACCAAGCTATTGCTATTCTGAAAACACAGGTACAGTATACATCAATCGATTCTGTAGAGGACTATTCTAGTTGATTGTTTTAGTTGATTTGATACAAAGTACTCATAATATGTACCTGTATTATATGACTAGTTGATTGTCAACATTTATCCTTTACATGTACACATGAGTTTTAGTAGAGTGCTAATATAATGTTTGAGATCTGATTGATAGGAATCAAAGCACTATATCCATGTAATGACAAAATATTGAATGCATGAACATACTCATACTTTAGGGGTACAAACAAAATTGTTTTCCTTTTCTAACAGGTCTCAGAAATTGAAGAAAAAGATCGGAAGACAAAAAAGTACAGTCATTCCCTTGAGAAGGTAAGATCTATATAAAAGATCTGGTAACTGGTTGATGCATCGTAAGAAAACAGATGTGTTGCTAGTATTTCCCTCAAAGCCACAGCAAAAAACTTGTTTGTGTAAAATATTAACTGAAACTCATTCAGGGTATTGGCCTCTGTCGTGAAGAGTTTTGTTATCAAGCAATTACTTAAGTGTACTGGTAGATGTCAAAAGAAGAGATTTGTTGTAAACTTACATATTTTAGCAGTAGTTTTATTTTAATGATTTATACGCTTTAGATTCTGATATTGCGCTAAATTATGACTGCACCAATTGGAGTTTCTGTGTATCGTTTTCTATTGCATATTTTGTGTGCATGCCATTTGATGCTGATCTGTTTATATTTGGTAAAGCACTAAAATTTGTATGTTTACATTAAAGCATGCTTATCAAAACTTCCTTGAAACCAGGCTGAAAAGGTCATGTTTTGTTGACAAGTAGCTTGTATAATAATAATAAGTACTGATATTTTTATAGACAATACACTTAATAATGACTGTTTAACAATAATTGTTATAGGCAGTGAAAATACCTTTATCCATTGGTGTTTGATTATTTTTTTTAACAGTAATTGTTATAGGTAGTAAAAATACCATCATCCATTGGTGTTTGATCTTAATAAAAAAAAAAGGTACATATTCATACATACAGATTCCGATGTAATGATCTTCATCTGTAAAAATCTCACAATGTAGTAATACATTCTTGGATAATTTTCACCTGAACATAAGTTGCTCTACCTGTATTGAACATTATTTTATTGAACTCATAAAATGTCACAATGTAAAAATAATGATTACATCAAACACACAATTGATTGTGAATAACTGTTTTGTAGGAGGTTAATCAACTCCACTTTGAATTGGGCAAACAGGAAAGTAGTACGGAAGACAGTCAACAGTTGTGGGCCGTACGATTTGACAGGTGAGCACATTGGTGATATCAGACCCCTGAGTATTCCAACATCCTGTCTTATCCAACATAATGTTCTAAAGGAAAGCTTCCAAACAAGACCTGTGTATTTAAACAGCCTGTTTAATCTGACCAGTATGTGATGTGTCATAGGGTGTCAGAATAGACAGGTTTATTGTATATGCAATATATATATATATGACGATATCCCCTTGCACCTTTCCCCTTAGATTCTAGAAAGAATGTACTGGTAAATTGTGTACATTTTTCCTGAAGTTGACCCTTCACACTGCTTATTCATATGTAAAATCTATTTTACAAGTAAGTGTGTATTATTGAGCCTCACAGCAAAACACAGTTTTTAGTTATAGATACTTGAGTACAAATCTGAGTAACATTGTACCGATTAGCTTCTGCGTGTAAAAGTAGGAACAATCGCAGTAGTACAACTATATCCAGACAGCTATCTACTGAGGTTGTCAGGTGGTGCAGTGGATAACTTGCCTTTCACCAAGATGTGGAAAGTTATTGGGTTACCTGCACAACCACATGGGTTTTTGGTGAGTTCTCTGGTTTCTTAATTCCCAATTGTGCTAACAAGAGTGATTAGTCGATTGAACTTATTTCACAAATGGTGTAAAACAACTATCCACTGAAACAGTTAAACATTGTTTGCTCATAGAAGGAACATGACAGAAAACCCATTTTACCATTTCAGTGTATGCAGGGACAATGTAGCTTTAACGGTGGAACTTGAACAAAAGACAGCGGAATTGAAGGCTGCTCATTCACAGAACCTCTGTAAGTACAAAGTTATTTGGTCACTTGCTTAACATGTCACATGAAGGCTTTGCTAAGATACTTTTCCTGGAAACATTAAGGTACACATTGAATGGCAATAATATTATCAGTTGTGGTATTGCTTTCGATGATATTCAAAAGTTTATACAGGTTTATTTCCTGTTATATATTAAAAATCGACAATGGCTGATCGGTGCTTGTTTTGTATACAGATTTGCATCGGGAGCGAGACGAGCTTATCGCTTTGTTAGATGTCCAGGAAAGAGGAATTTATACAAAATCAAAAAGTACATCCTCTGATGATCAGGAATACAGCCAGTACACTTCTGCAGAGGTAAAGGTTGAAGGTCGTAGTAAAGTTCAAGTGTCATCAGAGGTATGTGTATATCTCTTGATTATTAGCATGTGGCATGTTACATTACAACGTGTAAGATATAAACAAGACAAACACAGGTAAGTTAAACATTGTAATATAATGGACAAACTCTTCATTGACAAGGTCAAATGTCATAAACTATTCAGCAACATGGACGGGTCAAACGTCATATAACAAACAATTCAGCGACAAGGTCAAACATCATATAACAAAAGTTTTCAGTGACAATATCAAACGACAAGGTCAAAAGGTCATATAACAAACTCTGCATTGACAAGGTCAAAAGGTCATATAACAAACTCTTTATTGACAAGGTCAAAAGGTCTCATAACAGAATTTTCATTGACAACGTCAGATGTCAGATAACAGACTCTTCAGTGGCAAGGTCAAACATAATATTATAACAGACTCTTCAGTGACGAGGTCAAATATGTCATAATGTGATCAACAGGGCAAAATATGGTGAATTTTAAGATTAGAGTCTGAACCGGAGAGCATAATTATATATAGTTAATTACCTTTCTGATAACATTATTACAATATACTATAGTTTGAGTTTGCATGATTTCACAGTTATTAACTACACTGTATATAGCTACTAGGTATTTGTTGGTTTTACTGTGAACAGAGAATGAAAATTATGTTTATTTATAATTTTATGAATTGTTTATCATGGAGTTACTCTTGAAAACATCAATTGACCTTTTGTAGGTCAAAACATTGAAATATTCTGTAGAAAGCTTTTTACCTCTCTTTTCAAACAGCAAGTACTATTTTGAAATAAAATACAATTAAATTTGTTCATTTATTTGATTTGTCTGATATTTTGGTGTTACTTTGTCGATATTTCAGCAGTAAAATATCTTATGTATAGTCTACAAGTTCATTACCTGATATTTAGTAGATAGATTCACTCACTTGCAAACTTTTCAGGTTACTAAAACAGTTTTAATCCCTGGTAAGTAACATTGGATGAAGACCCAAATAATCGAGACAGGATAGTTGTAACCTCAATACAATTTCTGTTTGTCACAGCTAGCCATGATGGGTGCCTGTAAGTGTCGAGGCACTGAACCAGAGCCGTGTGGATGTGCTATGGCCGCCGCTCATCTACAACGAGAGATCATCAAGTGCCATGAAAAGGTAGTACACATTGTTTCCATCGTCTTGGTATCTTTGAAACAAGGTTTGAATTATCCTGTTATAATTCAAATTTCCGCCATTCCCTTCATTGATAGACCATTTCAGGTCAGATCATATAACTTCAAAAAAAAACCATAAAAAGTGATAATCTTCTATACCACTAAGGCACAATACCGGGGGGAGGGGTTCAATTCATTTATGAAAAACCATGATTATTTTGGTAATAAAACGGTATAAAAGTCATTTTTGAAATTTCAACACATGGAGTAATAATATTTTTGAAAATTCTTTTCAATAAAGTTCAATTTATTGCATTTAAAGTGATATTTAAGGTATCTATTCTATTAATTAAATACCTATATTATAGTCATTAAATGTTACATTTAATATCATAATTGATACATAGAATTGGTTCTGGTAATCCTATGTATTAGGTCAGAAGTGGTCGTCAGTCAAGCAACATGTGTTTTTCAGCTGTTTCTGTCACGTACTTGGGTAACTGTTGATGTGTATAACAAATCAACAGAACTTCTCCCATAGCCACAAGTAATACCTAAAATAAAACACATGTAATGAAGAAAAAGTTCAGAACTAATTGAATTTGGACATACATGTTCGTGTATAGCCCTTGTTGGTGAGGTGTATTATTATATATTTGTTAACTAGAATGAGATGTACCTGCGAAGACGAGATGAGGCTTACATGACGGCTGACGCCTACCACATGGCGTTTGAGGAGCAGCTGTCCAAGAACAAGGCACTCATGCTCCACCTAATAGACATTGCTACCTCAGGCTCCGGACCGTCACGCATCACCAAGGCTAAGGCTATTGTCAAGCGCTTCATACAGATGCTCAATGATGGTGGGTTACTCCTTTGGTTGTAAACAGGAAGGGTTTTGTATAGAAAACAATTAACATCAGTCATTGCAGATTTCACACATATAGTGATATCAGTACATATTAGTGTATTTTTAGTATAGTATTCTGGTATAAATTTATTTTTAGTGTAGTATCCAGATATATTGGAGGCACTGTAGTCTAGTGGTAGGACGCCAGACTCGTGACTGAAGGGTTGCGGGTTCGAGTCGACACGGCACTGTGTTGTATCTTTGAGCAAAAAACTTTACATCACTTGTTCCAGTCTACTCAGCTGTAAATAAGTACATGGTTGAGCAGTGCTAGAATTGTTGAATGCTAGCTGTGAGTGCCGATAAAGCGGTATATAAGAACTTCTAATTATATATGTTACTACATACACTGGCAAAATTACTTGTTCTGTAGTGTGCATCAACAAAGCACCTACTGCATTCTGTGAAGTTTTCTCCACAGTTTAACTTTCGTCTTTTGTACCCTCCACCCTGAAAGAGAATTTATTCTGACAGTGAATATTTATACAACACATAAGTATAAAGTCATAACATGAGATGAGCAGAATTAATAACGGAGAATATTGATTTTACTAGTTTGAAGGGTAAAATTAGACTGGGTGAAAAATTCCTAGTACACATTGTATTTTAGTGTATGACCTTTAAAAATATAGGCCTTGCTGAATTATACTGTATAATAAAATATAACACACTGAATATATTGTATGGTAATTATAAATATGGTGTTTATTTGTTTACAGAGGACTACACCACAGAGCTAAAAAGATTTCATCCACAAGGGGAGGGAACTGCAAATAACGGAACTTGTCCCCTACCCCCGGGAGTCCCGCCCATAACCGACAGAGACCTGGTACTTGCGTTCACAGAAATAGTATGTGCCTTCTTTTAAATATATGATAGATTGCTGTCAATTTGAGATCTTATAATTACATTGTATAACAGAGTTGTTAAAATGTTTTGAATTATATTTTATACAATTACTCAACATTTTCTAGAGGACTACTTTGAAAATGGTCATGTTTTGCTAATTTTGCAATATTAAATTAGTGTGAAAATATGCACATACATGTATAGTGACACATTAACATGCTGTTGCATGAGTACTGTGAACAAATTGTCTTTCTGCAATATTCTGATAAGTTTTACTTTCAAATTGACTGTTAATGGCTAACTGATGTTGTGACAACTGTAAACAAGATTTTACCGTTGATAAATAGTTAATTTATTGTTTTGACTAATTTTGAAATTTATTGTTTTGTCTAACTTTGTAAAAAAAAAAATCTTTTTAACAGCTACATGATAGAACTGAGGACTTAGCCAACAAGAAAATTGCCATACAGGTCCTCGGGGATCGAATCCAACATTTAGAGGAAAGATTAAACATTCAAGAGGATGTATTCTAAAGTTAGACGAAAGATCGGACATTCAGCAGGATGTATTCCAAAGTTAGACGAAAGATCAGACATTCAGCAGGATGAATTCCAAAGAAAGAGGAAAACAACCAATGAGAAAACACTGTTTCAGATGACAGCAAAATGTCCAATCAGATTTATTTATTCATTTTGCTGCTTTAAAGCAAACAACCAATCAGAAACCATGTAAAATGTCAGCAGTCAAGTCAAGGCTGTTGTCCTGGCTAAACACCTGTGAGGTACCGGTGACTGTCATGGCTGGCCTGTAGAGAGTGATACATTGTGGACTTTCATCCTTACCGGTATAATTGTCACATATGTTATCACAGGCTGGTTTGCCATCATGGTCAGCTGATCAAGTTTCAACAACTAGACCGTGGTTACGGCTAAGGACTTTTTCAACATTGTTCATGGTGTGGAAGTGGATGGCTCTCTAATGTCATCAGACATTATTGACTTAATTTCACTGACATTATTGATTGGTCAGCCAGTAGTTGGACTGGTCACTGCTAAACCCATTTTTGATAAGATGAATCTTGTAAAAAAACACTGACCGGTAAAGACAGACTTAAAACTTTAAGTGCATTGTCAGACATTCTGTTTACGGTAATACAATGTTCTTATAGCTAGATACAGCTCACATGGACGTGACTTCCAAGGTCTCGGTTATCATTCCACAATGTATTTATGTTACTGCAGAGAATATCTACGATATACTGATACTATAGTGCTAAATTTCTAGGTTGTTGTGGGAAGGGGTGCTGTTTGTTGTTTTGTAATTGTTAATGTTGATAGTTTAGCTTACAATTATAAGTGAATCTGAAGAAATCATGTTTTAAAGGTTAAAAGATAAATATGTTTTTAAGTTATAATTCCATGGAACTTTGTTACCTCATGGATAGATAAAAATAGATTAGATAAAAAAAACTATGGAAGAAAACGATTTTATTGATAAGTACATAGGCCAAACACATGATATATGGGGACAGTTATAGTACAACTGTTTCTTAGAGATTTACTATATAATCAATCATGTTGCATATTGATTGCATTTGTTAAATGCATATTTTTCTCAAATTAAATGAACAGACATTTTTGAGAAGATGATGTCTGAAAAAAACTACAGACTAATATTGAAAGTAAAAATGAATACCAACAGTGTTCTGCCATAAGTGTTAATCAAATATAAAAATCATAATATTGATTGTGTTAAATTAAGGTCTGATCAGATGTTCTAGTGCACAAAAGTCACAAAATTATATGTTCCCTGATAGTGTTACGGAACAATGTGAAAGACAGAATATATTGTTGATTTTTTTATTGTGTAATTATAATATCATGGTTATATCATCATTATATGTTGATAATAAGAAAATCTACAGGTGTATGTATTTTCATGATTCATAATAACGTCAACCAAATACAAATATGTGCCATCTTCACTTTTTAATTAATTCTCAATAATTTTAATTGTGCAGAAAAGGTATATTGTTTTGATATAAAATTGATATGTTGATCTACAGTTTAACAAGGATTGAGATAATTGAATCATGCCAGTCCAGAGGTGTTTAACAGGGATGTGATTCTTCCTCTTTTCAGAAGATTTCCACTTTTTCCTATTTTCGCACGATTTAAGAAATTCTTGATTTACTCTGAAACATTTTTTTTAAAGTTTATGAGGGGTTGAGATGTGTTCCTCCATTTTGCACTTTGATTTCGTCTTTTTTTCAAACCCCAATCACATCCCTACATACTATTCTGAAATTCAGAATCAATACCGTATGATCTCAAATTCTTGTTTTTTTGTGTCGCCTGCGAAAAGCTGGTGACACATAGGTATTGCTATGTCGGCGACGGCGGTGGCGGCGGCAGCGTCCGAACAGAGGTTTTCGTCAATAACTTGAGTTTCCTTTGGCCGATCAAACTCAAACCTCATGCAGTGCTTCCTTACCAAAAGTGCTTGCTTGGGATTGCTTTTCAGGTCCGAAGGTCAAAGGTCAAGGTCACTGTTACTATAAATAGAAAATCTGTTTTCGTGCGATAACTTGAGTTTCCTTTGGCCGATCAAACTCAAACTTCATGCAGTGCTTCCTTACCAAAGTGCTTGCTTGGGATTGCTTTTCAGGTCCGAAGGTCAAAGGTCAAGGTCACTGTTACTATAAATAGAAATTTCACTAAAACTGTATACTGGACGACTTCGATCTACCACTTGACTCACCGTGTATACCTCTGAAATGCAGTCTTACTCCAAATGTTATTGACAACACTAGCTGTTTATCATCATAATCCACAAGTTTATTCATTTATTTATGGGAAACCATCCGACAAATCATACAAATTAAACTTGGAATTGAGACAATGAGTATCCATAGCAAGTTCCTTAAAACCCCCGAGTATTCTTCCCAGAATAACAGATTATATAACAAAATGATGTCATCCTATAACATAATCTATGATTATTGCTTACTTTTAACATTATTTCTTGAAATGAAAAGTGTATCTATTTCTTCGTAATCTCCGAGCTTCCTGCGCAGGCGACACATCCACTTCCGTGGAATTCTTGTTTTAGTATCTAAAGCTATGCATCAACACTATTATGGTAGCAGCTCTATCTGGACTGTATTTTTAATGGTCTTTTTTTCACACAGTTTTTGTCGGTGATAAAGTTAACACTTTTCTATTGCTATGTATGCCAGTAATCAATATACATGTATAAATAAATTGATTTGATGAATCTCTTTGTCACAATGTTACCAATACTTTAAGTTCACTCATGCTGAGTTCAAACATAATTTTCCATAAACTTAGTAGCAAAATCTAAGTTCAAACTCTGTTTAAATCCGACTCAAATTGTTGGTGAAATTAGTGCCTGACCTGATCATAAATTGATGGGATCAAGTTATCTAATCAGGGGCAATTTATGGCTGATCATGATGCTGTAGAACTTAAGGTTGTCCCTGTGATCTATGTATGTGATTTTAAGGTGTTTGTTATATTGAGTTTGACTACAAACTGACATATCTTCATATTTTATCCTGTTGGTCAGTAAAAAGGATATATTACAACAATTTGTCATTGTACCTGTGTTATCATACTAGTAATTGTGCGTATATAATGTGGTTGTCTTGTGTCTCCATTCTGTCTTTAATTTATATAGAGCATATACCTTTGAGTGTAATAATTATCACTTTTAAAAGATTGCAATCTCTGATATCTCAGAACCCTCCACAAATCTTGTCATGCGTTTAATGTTTTATAAATAAGTCATTGTTTATTTAAGATTATACATTAGTTATTGTTATGGTAGTCTATATTATGTTATTATGTACATTGTTTAAAAATAGTGTGTGTGCCTTTTGTCTTACTTGATGAGTATGTTTTTGTTTCATAGAATTCCTCATCCCTTGTTCTTTACAGGTACTACAATTTTCTCATAGACACAAATAATCATCCTCAGTAGCATGGATCCTTCTCCTGATCCACAGCCGAGAACACATCTTAACACTGCAGTTTACAATGTTGAATCTCAATGACCTCTATACTACTATTCAAAAACATTTTGGAAAGATGGATATGTTAGGATACTGAATAAGGCCATAATAGTAAATCTGAGTCAACATGCTGTCCACTTGAAACGCCCCGAAAATAAAGTCATTATGAAATATCACACAATGGTGCCATTATTTATTTTTTAAGAAGCTTAAATTTTCAATATTGTGTAATTGTTTAATACCCCTTAAGTCGAGAACCATATCACATCCACCTTCACAGAGATAACAGAGAGATTTTAAACAATTAATTTACTTTAATTGCATTATGCCTTATGTCTTTAACCTATTCAACATCTATAGCCTATATTTACAGTTATACAGACTGTCTTTCCCTGTTATTCCCAGTATATAGTTGAACGAGTTAAATACAGATACACCTTCGCCCAGTACCTTCCTACTCTAGCAGTAACGTGCCACGCCTACCTCCCAGTCCATACCATTTCCATTGTTGTGTTTAATGAAACAAATATTTAGTCGACAGCATAATTGATCATTTACATGTTTTTGATTCTGCACTTATAAGTACGTTTTGAGAACCAGTTGACTGTAGATTATTGAAAATGCTTTAAACTATTTCTAAAGAATGACTATTAATTGATTTCAAACACATTAACACAATTTCCAAAGAATGGAAAAAATGTGTGTAAATTAGCATGAAAAATACATCTATGATTTGGGAGGTGTGTGTTTGGGGGCAGTGAGGGCATGTATAAAGTCCAGGGCCACTTGATGATAAAAACTGAGTTGACAAAAGATGCAAATACAAACCATATGATAACTAGATAATGCATTCTTTGGCATTAACTTGTGTTTACATAGAAGACTAAAATTCAATATTGTATATAAGTTCTTGCGTATCAGGTATAACCTTGATATTTGGCATTGTTGTAGAAATTTAATACATGTTCAATGACATCAGATAAATAAAAACAACGGCCAGAATTTCTACAAACTCTCATCAAAGACTGATTCTTCTTTTTACATTTTTGTGTTTATGTTTATGGTGTGTGTTATATTATTGGTTGTTTCAATATCTAACGAGAATTTGTTTTATGGGTTGTTTCAATTTATGGCTAGAAATTTTTATTTTTATTTTTTCATTTGCTTCTGGTTTGTTTTGATTCTGCCAAACTTATACCGATTTATATCATATCATCATCAATAAATAGTTTTGTTTTGCTAAAATGAACATTAACATGAAATGATTTCACATAATTCATATCATTGCATTTTATAACTTTATGTTATGCATCTCAGAATTTTGTAAAAATATAGAACAATAGACAAAAACATGTAGATGTAATGGTTATGTTGATTAAATTCTGTTCAGGTAAGTTCATTTTTTTGTAAGTTATCGGTACATATCTGTGTTGAATATTAAAAACTGACACAGCGTGAGATAGTTGAAATGTAAAATCTGGTAGTTATAGAGCTATAGCCTTGGTGAAACCATATCTGATAAATACACTGTTGTGTTTTGTGTTCTATAGTATTGTATATCAATATAAATCTTAATTTGGGAATGACTAGATGAAGAAGATGTTTCAGATATGTACATGGGAAATAAAGTGTATAAAAGATGAGATACAGGAATCACTCTGACGCAGTACCCACTTAACCTCTTTTTTAAAGACTTCAGAGAAAGATTTGAAGTACATGAACAGGTCATGAGAAAAAGGAATATTTAGTATAGTTTAAAGTAGCTTTCATTGTTAAGACTGCATGTAACTGGTACTCCTGTGTTAAGGTTAGCAGGAATATGGCCCATAAGTCAGTCAGACTGGTGATTTGGGTCTGTAATCCATGAGGCCCCCACAGCTAAATACATGAATTAAGGTATAAAAGAATTATGTGCAATTTACATGTTAATTTGTGTTCAGATTTTCAAAGTAACCTATTTTGAAAGTTAATAATATGTAACAGGAAAGAGAATAGTGTGCTTCCACTGGTGATCGAACCCTCGATCTCCAGGTTCCTAGTCGGACACTCTATCACTGAGTTAAAGGAAAATTCCCTCTAGCTCGAAACAAGAAGGCGACCTTAATCCTATGTACAATTAAAACCTGCCACAATACCGGTACTCCCCCCTTTTTAAATGTGTTCGCCCTCAAACACCCCAATCTCCCTGTCTATATATAACCTGTCACCACAGGGAGGGCCACGGACACCATTTGTAACAGGGAAGAGAATAATGTGCTTCCACCGGGGATCGAACCCTCAATCTCCAGGTTCCTAGTCAGATGCTCTACCTCTGAGGTAAAGAGAAATTCCCTCTAGCTCGAAGCTAGAAGGTGACCTTAATCCTATGTACAATTATAAACTGCCACAAATATATAGTTTATGAGAAATATCAAATGAAAAAATGTATGTGTTTTGTTAAGTTAAATCAAAGAACTTGTATATTGATAGCTTTAGGTCTAAACCTAGTTGGTGTTAGGTGGTTAGTGGTATTATAGACGTTAATGAATATATATAGTTATACCATTAATGATACAGTAAACAAAGTTTATGTTTACTTGGCCCATTGGTATTAATGTATAGTGATGCCAGTAAAGATACAGTAAACAAAGGTTATGTTTACTTGGCCTTATTGGTATTAATGTATAGTGATGCCAGTAAAGATACAGTAAACAAAGGTTATGTTTACTTGGCCCATTGGTATTAATGTATAGCTATGTCAGTAATGAAACAGTAAACAAAGTTTATGTTTACTTGGCCTTATTGGCCTAAAACTTCTGTTGTTAATAACAGTCCTATTAAGTTATAACTACACTTGGTATTCTTGTCCAGTTAATGATGTGTCTTGATTTTTGTTAGATTTATGCGACCAGTTAAAGAAACCAAACAAAGATATGTTTAACCAGTCCTTGGTCTAGAAAGGTCACAAGACAATATTTGACATTTGTGATTTCGCTTTTACCAGTTTTTGAACTACTTATACTATATTTTCCTAGCTTTAGTTGTTATTTCATTGAAGACTCACTGTAAATATTTAGCTAGGAACACATTGGATTAGCAGGGATTATCGTAGTATAAAACAAAACTGTCTAATGTTTCAACTTCCAGGGAGATATTTAAAAGAGGACATGCATAATGAGGTCAGGCTGTATGTGACTTAACATTTGCCTTCATTCGCAATTAATTACAAAAAATCGACACTTACATGTAACCATAACTACAAATATTTTTCAAAAAAGCAATTAATATGTACATACATTAGTTAAATTTTTTTAAAGACCTATTTTAATGAGGATGCTCAAAAAAAATCAATATTTTCTTAATCAATGTATGCAAGTAATTCTGTCTTAATTATTATCCAATTAAAGCCAGTTGTGTCTTAAATTCCTTTACTTTGACAACATGTAAAAAGAAGTCACAGGTTCAAATCCTAGAGTCCCAGATCTAGGCACTGATAAAACTGACCATGGTTACATTGTTTTCAGAACAAACATGTATCCTCTGTCCCACAACATTACTGTAATTAATTTGCTCACCAACATCATTGGATAACCAGTTTCATCTGCAGTTAAGTTATTTTTAAGACCAATCAAATAAAATGCTCTAAGACACTAAATGTGATTAATACAGTTTGTTGAGACATGAATCTTTTTTTTCTTCTTATTGATAAATTAAAGAATTGTTTTCATCCAAATAATGATTTTGTTGTAGAATTAATTTGTTTTAATTTGGATAATTATTTTCTGTTTTATTATTGACTGAATAAACATGTTGAAATAATGTTGGACTTGTTGATTATTGAAATAGATTTAAATAAGCCAAGTGCTGTGTATTGGTGACATCACAAAAGAAAAACAGGCAAGTCTGTAATTATTTTCCGGGTTTTAACATCCGTCTTCTACTTACTTACTACAATCACCATATAGCGCCATTTTGGTTTGGAAAGATGAATCGTGTGTGTATGATGTAAACATACATTCGCATAAATATGCACTTTGTTCTTTAATGCCTTTCCGCTAATACATATTATACAGGTCAGTATCTATTAGCGCAGCGTCTACGTGTTTATTGATGTGTGAATACTGAATTAATCTTTCTACATTTAGGTCCGCGTCACACAACGTTGCGTCACCAGTTTCGACGGAAACTGATTCTATTTCGCCGATGGGGGTCTTATCGAAATGTTATAGATAGCCACACACTCTTTTCATCTGTTACTTTACTCATCTTTGTTATTTTGACTGAAACATTGGACACACAAAACATACACTCGCGGTACTCTTGAGTTTTGACGAAACTAATAAACAGTCCGTAATATATATAATAAACAAGGCAAACTAGACGGACGTTTTTGTATAGACGCACATCATAAGCTCGTATGTTTTTGAACAGGAGTTTGAAATTCTATTAATAATGACAGTACTATAAAGAAAAATACATTACTGTATTCTTAAAAACAGAAGGCAGACAACAGTTATATGATCGATTTGTATACATTTTCACTTATTATCAAAACGAGCTATGGTACCATGCGCCTATAACAAAAGAGGCTGCTGGCCATGGATAGGATTTGGCGCCTGTCAAAGGTATCTCGCTGTGTTAAACCTATAACATTGTTGGAGTTAGTACTAATATTGATACCGGGCCACGCAATATATAAAAAAATCTCTTGTCAGAAAGCTACGTTATCGCAGCTATGTAAGTAACTCTTTGTTCATTATCTGGTAATTGAGATAATTTTTGAAGGACTGACCACTTACTTAAACAGACTGCAACCTAAAGTGGTTGGGGAGAAAAGTCCATCATTCATGGACATAAGAAAAGTGCAGCATTCAATTCACAAAACTACGTAGTACATCTTTGTGGTTCTTATATTGCAATAAATACATATATAGTGGAACTGGACTGGTTTGATCGTCGACGACCAGATAACTCAATTGGTGGAGCATCCGTCTAGAGATCAGAGGGTCCCTGGTTCGAACCCCGGTCTGGTTGGCATTTTTTCCCATCTCCTGTTACATTTGGCGCCAAACAAAATATACCCACAGAATCGAAGGTGGTATAGGGTCTCATGTGTCTTCGAGGTCAAAGACTTTGTTAAAGGAGGGAGGAGTGTAGCGGAACTGGACTGGGTCGATTGTCAGCGACCAGATAGCTGAATTGGTAGAGCATTCGTCTAGAGTTCAGAGGGTCCAGGGTTCGAACCCCAGTCTGGCCGTGCATTTTTCCTCTCCTGTTACACATACATAATATATTAATAGCAGTTAGGTACTCATCACACAATGTATACAGCAGACCACTTATACAAGTTTAAGTTCTTGCACATTGGTAAGCATAAGGGAGAAAACACTACTTATGTCCTTATAACACTTGAGAAAGTGAAAGAAGAAAAAATCCTTGGAGTTACATTTGATGAAGAACTTAATTTGACAAACATATCGGTGGAAAGGTACAAAAAGCAACATCAATATTTGGCATGATAAGAAGAATGTTCAAGTTTCTTGATTCTAAATTATTCATCCCACTTTACAAATCACTAGTAAGAACCCACCTGGAATATGCTAGCTCTGTATGGAAACCCTACAAGATGAAACATAGAACAACTAGCAGGTGTACAGAGGAAGACTACCTGGAATGGAAAACCTGTCGTATCCAGAAAGGCTGAAGATGCTGAAACTGACCACCCTTAGCTACAGATGTATTTGTAGTGATGAGATGTACAAGACAGTGAGAGTAAAATAGGATGAGGGAGCAATACAGTTTATAAGGATGTGGTCCGACACCTCGGAAAGATCAAGCACAAAGACCAACTCCATGAAAATATTCCCTAGATACACAAGGACATCACTACGGAAAAACATAAGAACAACAGCAGTAGATATGGAACAATTTGCCTGATCACATAGTAACCGCAACACACTTAATAGCTTCAACAACAGGCTTGATGACTACTGGAACAGACAGGAAGTAAAGTACAACAACTACAAAGGGTCAATATGTGTAACAACCGGAAGTGAAATATATAGTTATATCACTTATGAGTCCAGCAAAGAGGATCCTTACAATGGAACCGGTGCTGGAAAATATCATTAAGTTTTGAATTTAGATTATACCTGAGAATTAACTTATAAAAGTATTTAAATAAATGGCTATCTTTCTTGAACATCACAAATTCATGCAACCGAGACCCTTTGTTTCTCCTGGACACAACACATTAATGATGGTATGATGATGAGACATAAAAAATTGGGATGTTATTTTAACTGATTTCTATGCATATCATGAGTTTGGAGATGAAATGTGAAGCAGTTAGAGAAAGTTTTTGCATTGGTTCAACATTTCTTATGCAATGCCATAGTTATCATTATGGATTTGTTTTTCATGACTCTTGTCCTGTCATTATTTATAAAGTTTTGATTCACCTGAAAGCTATATTTTGCACCATCCTTGATAACCAGGGCTTATGCTCACCTATGCTCTCTACAGCGTAGGTGAGCGTAACCCCTGGATATCGAGGATGCACTGTTCACAAATATTTTGATAATTTTTTTTTATAAAAATGGTTATAACATCAGATGCAATTACATGATATTAACATCAAATACTGTCTTGATTGTCTCTGATAAATGTTGTGCTGACATGAAAGTGTATAAACTACCATCTATTTTGAGAATCATAATGTGTTAACTAGCTTTAATTAAAGTAACGTTTTAAATATTGAATGATCATTGTATTTCAGGTACAAATGATGTTACACTGAGTCTGCATACAATATCGGTAACCCTAAAGGAGCCTGAAGACCCATTATGTATAGGATGCACATTATAGACTTTGTGGGTCTTGACCACTGCTACTCCAAACCATGGAGTGCCCATCCAGATGCAAGCAATGCCCGACCAGTCAAACTTCTCTTTATGACCAAGCCATCCAAACCTCAGACCACACCAGACCAGATTCTAGGGTATGCATTTAAACTACAAATGATGTGTAAATTTATCCTGACAAAGAATTTGGGTCCTTGTTAATATAGTAATTCAAGCTGCATTTCAAAAAATATGTATGGGCTGTTCAGTTTGATATTGCAAATAAGTGTTAGGTTATGCAAACTAAGTTATTTTATATTTTTCATAGTACCAGTGCTCTAGAAAGGTAGGTCCGGCCTTATACAGACTTCATTTCAAATATTAACCCAATGATGTGCACAATATTTGTTGTATGTGTGTGTGAACTGTTATGTTTTGCCACAGTGCTCGGGATATTGAGATAGATATAGTTGGAGATGATGTTGTTCCTCCCCCTCCATATGAGATGGCCAAAGCTCGCAGCCTGATGCATGAATGTGACCGCAGTGTTAACTTCGCCCGAGCAGAAAGTTGTGCTGACGATGCCGAGGACCATGTTAGCAAGTAATAGTTTGTTACATTGTATACATCCATTTCACATTCAATGTGATGTCTTTCTATGTTCATGAATTGAAGTTTTTCCTGTAATATTTTCATGTCATGAAATTGAAGCTTATTCTGCCTTTTTTTCGTATAATTAACTGAAAGATATGTTGAATGTTCCTGAATTTTCAACATTTTCTTGATTGTTTGAAACAGTCAGTATATATACTGGATTTTACAACTTTGCTTTACTGCTAACCAAATATTTATGCTAATTAATTTGGGAATCGTGTGGTTGTGATGTCCTGTTAAGTCCATACACATGAATTGATGCTTATCTGCAATGTTTTCATTTTGCTTCCAATTGCCTCCATCACACATCATTCATCATCACATGTTCATATAAACATTATGAAGTGTAGTTAACTCTGTTTTGTTACTGCTAATAAGTTCCATTGTTCACTAGATTCGATCCACAATTTCATTGCTTCATTTGATTGCGCCCTCATCACCCAATGAGTAAACCTGGTGCGATTTTCAGTGTTGTAACTTGTAGGGTGGGCTGGACACTACAGCAGAATCGATTGTACAACAAAGTGATGAAGGCACTGCAAGGCGACCGACTTTCCAGACTAGCTTATAATGCGGTAAGAATGAACAAGGAATCAGACTTCTGATTATAAATTGAACTTTGTCAAAGATGATTTGAGATTTATAGAAAATATGGATGTAAATTAATAACCAAAATAAAAGGACTGTTTCTAAAACAGCCTATATATACAAACTACCTATTTCATGATCATTGAACGTGTCAAAACTACCGCAAATCCTGTCCAAAATGTTATCATTTGTATCTTTGATTGAATTGTTATAGGAATGCCAGCCTAACATAACATTTTTAGGGCTTACCCTTTGTTTCCACAGCACCATAATGAACCTGTGATGAGGAGAATACACATAGACAAGACCGCCCGCAGGATACGGCAGGCTCTGGCTGGTGTGTCTTGGGTAAGTTCTGTACACAGGATACGGCAGGCTCTTGCTGGGGTGTCCTGGGTAAGTTCTGTACACAGGATACAGCAGGCTCTTGCTGGGGTGTCCTGGGTAAGTTCTGTACACAGGATACGGCAGGCTCTGGCTGGGGTGTCCTGGGTAAGTTCTGTACACAGGATATGGCAGGCTCTGGCTGGGGTGTCCTGGGTAAGTTCTGTACACTGGATACGACAGGCTCTTGCTGGTGTGTCCTGGGTAAGTTCTGTACACAGGATATGGCAGGCTCTGGCTGGGGTGTCCTGGGTAAGTTCAGTACACAGCATAAGACAGGCTCTGGCTAGGGTGTCCTGTGTAAGTTCTGTACACAGGATACGGCAGGCTCTGACTGGGGGGTCCTGGGTAAGTTCAGTACACAGGATAAGACAGGCTCTGACTAGGGTGTCCTGTGTAAGGTCTGTACACAGGATATGGCAGACTCTGGCTGGGGTGTTCTGGGTAAGTTCTGTGCACAGGATATGGCAGGCCCTGGCTGGGGGGTCCTGTGGAGGTTCTGTAGTCAAGTTCCTGAAGCATACGACAGGCTCTGGCTAGGGCGTCCTGTGTAAGTTCAGTACACAGGATAAGACAGGCTCTGGATAGGGTGTCCTGTGTAAGGTCTGTACACAGGATATGGCAGGCTCTGGCTGGGGTGTCCTGTGTAGGTTCTGTAGTCAAGTTCCTGAAGTATACGACAGGCTCAAATTTCTGTAGTGAAGTTTATTTAAACACCACTCCATTTCTGCTTTCCCCATATTGGAAATGCTGACACATAAAAAAGAACATTGTATATGTGTTGTAATAATGTATTGCTGATGTGTACCTCACTGTATATGTAAGATGATTGTGTTGTATTTTTCAGGACCCGCGTCTCACCCAGTGGTTACATAGTGTACTGTTGGACAGCCTCAGTATGCCCGTACTCAGTGCCTACCTTGATGTCCTACAGACACTCAAGTCAAAGGTCTCAACAACAATCTCTCCAATCAGAACTGTTTATTGCTGACCCTATTTAAAGAATACCATTAACATGCTCTGTAACCCTTTCACCACTGTCGACCATAATGGACTCATCCATATCAGTGCATGGAAGAGTCTACTTAAGTTACATATGGGTGAAAGGGTTAAGAAATTCCTGTTTCTTCAAACTACTCGTATCAGAATATATTTGCTGCTTGTTACATTTAATCATGATTTAGTCTGGTGATTTCACTGTTCAAACATCCAATTAATATATCATTTTCTGGTTATAACTTTAATGGAAAACAATTGAACACTGCTTTATATGATTCTATGTTAAGATCCAGTGTTATTTGAAGATAGTTTCAGTCCAGTTTTGCGAAAACATTGAGTAAAATATTAATTTCCTTGTTTAGCTTTGAGTATAAGACCTTTAAATGTGATACATAACAGTTGTATTAGCTTGTAACACAATGTGGTTTTTACCAGGCCTCCAAAAGTGAGACTATTCTTTAAGAAATTAGAAGAAAGGACATATCTTAAAAGCCAGAATCTTTAACAGAAATAAACAAAAACTAAATATTACTTTTGTTGAATGTATTATTTTTTATATTTCAATTGTTTCATATATGTTGTAAAATGAAATAGCTTAGAAAACCAGATTGATGTAAATTCTTCTGTAAATCAGATATGTGTCCTTCAAATTGGGATGATCTACTTGAAGGTACCATCCCTGATTGAGAAAATGATTGCCATGACAGCAACAGGGGGCAAGACTCCAGCTGCCTCAGTTGATGCCCTCAATCTGCTCCTCAAGCGACCTTGGGACCCTGTCTACAGCGTCTACTCTCAACAGAAACTGGTGTGTAGTAATTTCCTGTATGTGTTGTTTGGAGACCTTTATTCCTGTTCAGCTGATTAGATTTCAACATATTTTATTGGACAAAAAAAATGAACAATTGGATGAGACAACAGTCTTCTCCTATCCGGTATAGATGGACAAAAGGCATAAATTTGATACATAGCTCAACAAGACACACTCATATACACTTAAAAACATATAGGCTAGAACATTCAACCAAGTTACAATTATAAGAAAGAAAATGAAACATTATTTGATGACATTTGAAAACTTATAAAATACTTTCTTAGCAAATCATATATACGGTAAACCTCCGGTCAGTTCAAATCGGCGGATAGTTCAAATAATGAGTGTTTATAATTGACCCTATTTCGGATAGTCCGAACTTGTCAAATGAAGAACGTAAAGTAAGATTTTTTTCCGGCAAACTCCATTGAAAGCTCGCGGCGATCGGCCCGGAAAAAATGCCCAATACTTTGATCAACAGACACGTTTCGGGTAATGTGTTGTATGTGTGATCATTGCAGTACAGCTGTGACAGACAAACCATAAATATATATCACAGATTTTAGCGTTGATTCATTTTTTTACATTATTTTTAAAATACATTGTGCACGAGACAGCCAATTGCAACTTAAGTCCCCGACAATGTATAAATAACATGCGATCAGGACGAACTGATGTCACCGCGGTATGGCAAATTAAGAAATCACCCGTGTATTGTCAAATACAGTGTTAACTAGGCATTTTGATTATTTATTGCCAATCAAGGTATTACCAGAAAACGTGTGGCCTCACACCAGGTAGGGCAGGCCACGCGGGATGTCGCGGTAGGGATTGGCCGCGGTTATTGTGAGTGACGTGATTAGCATTCATGTCCAGTCCAAACAATGCACAGGTGTCCCAATTAGCGATGGGTAATTTTGAAGGTGTCAAATAAGTTTGGTAGATATTAGGACTTTTACTTATTAGGTCACCTGAGCTTTAGCTCAAGTGACCTATTGCTATCCGTTTTCGTCCGTCGTCGTCCGTCGTCCGTCGTCCGTTAACATTTTACATTTCAAACTTAAAGTCAAGTTCTGCTGGGCCGATTGAACTGAAAGTTGGTAGGAATGATCGCCTCATGGTCCTGACAAAGTGTTGTTATTTTTCGGGTCGATCAGAAATCCAATATGGCCGCCACGGCCGCCATTTTGAAAACCTATTTCAAACTTAAAGTCAAGTTCTGCTGGACCGATTGAACTTAAAGTTTGTAGGAATGATCGACTCATGGTCCTGACAAAGTGTTGTTATTTTTCAGGTCAATCATAAATCCAATATGGCCGCCACGGCCACCATTTTGAAAACATATTTCAAACTTAAAGTCAAGTTCTGCTAGGCCGATTGAACTGAAACTTTGTAGGAATGATTGACTCATGGTCCTGACAAAGTGTTGTTATTTTTCGGGTCGATCAGAAATCCAATATGGCCACCACGGCTGCCATTTTGGTAAACTATTTCAAACTTAAAGTAAAGATCTACTTGGCCGATTGAACTGAAACTTTGTAGGAATGATCGAATCATGGTCCTGACAAAGTGTTGTTATTTTTCGGGTCAATCAGAAATACAATTTGGCTGCCATGGCCGCTATTTTGCTACTAAGTTCTAATAGGCCGATCTCACTTAAAATTGGTCTAGGAATGATCAGCTCATGGTCCTGACAAAGTTAAGTTAACATTATACTATTTTTTACTCAAATTGGTACATATTTCAACAACAAAAATAAATACTATAGACTCAGGTGACCGTTAAGGCCCATGGGCCTCTTGTAATTTAAAAGCAGACATGTTGATGTTCTGTCCTCATTTTACTAACATATATACCTATATTTACCGTAGCGCTTTCGTAAACGCAACAGGTTATGTAGACTGTTTTAGATTTATTAAACGGACCATTCATTACAAAATAATAGATACAATAGTTTCTGATTCAAATCAAACATATAATCATGCAGAGACTTATATGTTTGTGTCTTGATTAACACTTTGCCGAAATTTTTGCCGATAGTTCGAACTCACGCTTATTTTTTGAAGCATAATTTCATATAATTTGACCAGGTTCATCAATATTTATTTAATTTCATTCGAACTGACCGAAGGTTTACTGGATGTTTGTACACTCATACCACAGAAATGTGCACTAGCAGAAATGTTATTTTGAACTTTTGAGAGAATAAATAAATTATCATCAGTAGAAAGATGAGCATTACTAGATGGTAGTAATCAACAGATGAATACCCAAAATGACTAGTGATTAGCTGATTACTCTGAAGTCAAGTCATTGTTAATCTTTGCCTGCAATTCAACTGAGTCAGAATCAGTGTTTTCTACCTTTTGAAAAATATTTTGTAGTTTTCAGATTTTATGAAAAGTTTTAAAAACAGAGTTTTGTTAATTGTGTATAAAATATTGTGAACAAGTCATTCTGATACTTATAAATACAGACAAGCATGCTTATTTCATATTAGTTGTCAATTATAACAGAAAATGTATCTATATAATCAATGATAAAGTTTGAGTTTCTTATACTTTTCCAGCGTAAACTGCCTGGTAACCCTCTGATACTCATTGCTCCCTCGGGCCCCACCCACAACAGTGCCTACTCCAAGCGGACACGCTTTTGGAACTCCCAACTGTCACACCTAGGGAAGGTCATCCCGGTTACCATGCACACAGTCAGTGGTGGAAGTGGTGTAGGCATAGCTCAGTGTCTGGAGCACATGATTGGGGCTGTTCGCACTAAGGTTTTAGAGGTTTGTATAGATAATTGAGGTCATCCATACTAAGATTATTTTGTGTACATGATTGATGCTTGACCTAGATTATATATATACATGATAGGGCTGAGGGCCCAAAGAAATGTACCCAAGGTCAAACGCAGCTGAAAGGTCTTTACCAGTGTTAATTAATCTTAAATCTTGTAGAAGAAACTTTTTAAGATATTTAAACATGTCTTTATTTAATTTTTTCCCCCAGTTAAAAGGACACTTTCAGCACCGCCCCATTGTGTTACTGGGATGGAACATTGGTGCCCTAATAGCATGTCATGTGAGTAATCAGTAGTTGGGATTTAGTCATTGCTTTTTAAATCTACAGGTCATTGAACTTATTAAGAAAGTAAAATACGAGACACAAATTTCATGTTGGTTTATTGTTAAAACATGCAGATCATCACAAAAATGTTTATATAAATTTTAAAGTGAAAAAGAATATTGATGATTTAAACTTGTTTCAGCTGAATGTTCACTTAATCAGGTTGAAATTATCTTCCAGTTGACTTTATATCACATGCTACTGTCTACTGGAATATTTTTTATAAGTATTTTATTTATTTCTTGTGATGAATTAAACTATATTTGGACATAAAGTGATCAGTTTTGTACCTGTACTAAAGCTGTCTTCAGTAGATGAAATGATGCTGTTATTGATGTTATGTTCCACACAACAGGTGGCATTACTGGAGTCTGTCAGTGCTGTTGTCTGTTTAGGCTTCCCTCTCACTGGAACCAATGGCAGTCGTGGGGTGAGTGATGTAGTTAATACTGTATCTAAGCATCACAGAAGTATGTATTCTGTATTGAAGAATAACTTAGTTAAGTAAAACCACCAGATTTTGTATGCCCAGCAGCAGTGTTTGTATGACAATCCCCCTCTCCATAAGAGTTTGTATGGTAGATAATGTTTGGTGTGGTTAATAGAGTGAAGTATCCTATAAACAGCTTAAGGCCATTTAAGGACGTGTAATGTATGCGTGTGTGCTGGAGGCGGTTTGTGGGTGTAGATTAGGTATAGACATGCTTGTCTAATGTGATAATTTGGCTCGAGCCTAGTTTATCACAAAATTCAATGCCTGGATTTGTTGCAGCACTGGTTTTATGATAATCTCGAGCTTTAATGTATGGTTTTGTGATAAACTCGAGATTTAATGTATCGTTTTGTGATAACCTCGAGCTTTAATGTACGGTTTTGTGATAATCTCTAACTTTAATGTATGGTTTTCTGATAATCTCGAGCTGTAATGTATGGTTTTGCGATAATCTCGAACTTTAATGTATGGTTTTATCGTAATCTCGAGCTTTAATGCATGGTTTTGTGATACTCTCGAGCTTTAATGGATGGTTTTGTGATAAACTCGAGATTTAATGTATCGTTTTGTGATAACCTCGAGCTTTAATGTATGGGTTTGTGATAATCTCGAGCTGCAATGTATGGTTTTATCGTAATCTCGAGCTTAAAGGTATGGTTTTATGATAATCTCGAGCTTTAATGTATGGTTTTATGATAATCTCAAGCTTTAATGTATGGTTTTATGATTATGTATGGTTTTGTGATAATCTCGAGCTTTAATGTATGGTTTTATGATAATCTCGAGCTTCAATGTATGGTTTTATGATAATCTCGAGCTTTAATGTATGGTTTTGTGATAATCTCGAGCTTTAATGTATGGTTTTATGGTAATCTCGAGCTTAAATGTATGGTTTTATGATAATCTCGAGCTTTAATGTATGGTTTTATGATAATCTCGAGCTTTCATGTATGGTTTTATGGTAATCTCGAGCTTAAATGTATGGTTTTATGATAATCTTGAGCTTAAATGTATGGTTTTATGGTAATCTCGAGCTTTAATGTATGGTTTTGTGATGATGTAACAACTGTCTGGCTTTCAATTGTACAGGACATTGAAGACGCACTATTGGACAGTCGTACACCAAGCCTGTTTGTGATTGGTCAACATAGCAACAATGCTGGCATGGATGACATGGAGGATCTCCGTGAACGCATGAAGGCTGAGAACGGACTCTTGGTCATAGGGGGTGCTGACAGCAACCTCCGTGTTAGGAGTTCTAAAAAAAAGGAAGAGGGTATTACCCAAGTAATGGTCGACCGGCGTATCCTGGCAAGTTTCGATTCATAATTTACAATTGTATTAATCTGGTCTCTTTGATTTTCTTAACTATATCAGATTTGCTGATTTGTGTCACTAGTTGCAACGTATTGGAATTTTTAATAATTTTGCAGCAAATTCAATTTCTAATTTTTATTTTATAGGAAGAACTGTCCGATTTTCTGGGAGGAATTTTATGTAAATCTGCACATCTCAATATTGAGTCGAATGCAGATGTGTCTGATGCAGAACAGAAAAAGAAGAAGAAAAAGAAGGTAAATATGTTCTTCCACTTTTGACCTACCTAGGCTATTATACATTTATTTAGGAAAGATAAGTTATTCGTTTGTTGTATAACTCATAGGATTGGTTTTCATATTTTAAAGCTTACTAGATATCGGGATATTTCTGTCCTTATACTGTAGGTTTACTGGTATTGTGCCAGGTATCGAGATATTTCTGTCCTTATACTGTAGGTTTACTGGTATTGTGCCAGGTATCGGGATATTTCTGTCCTTATACTGTAGGTTTACTGGTATTGTGCCAGGTATCGGGATATTTCTGTCCTTATACTGTAGGTTTACTGGTATTGTGCCAGGTATCGGGATATTTCTGTCCTTATACTGTAGGTTTACTGGTATTGTGCCAGGTATCGGGATATTTCTGTCCTTATACTGTAGGTTTACTGGTATTGTGCCAGGTATCGGGATATTTCTGTCCTTATACTGTAGGTTTACTGGTATTGTGCCAGGTATCGGGATATTTCTGTCCTTATACTGTAGGTTTACTGGTATTGTGCCAGGTATCGGGATATTTCTGTCCTTATACTGTAGGTTTACTGGTATTGTGCCAGGTATCGGGATATTTCTGTCCTTATACTGTAGGTTTACTGGTATTGTGCCAGGTATCGGGATATTTCTGTCCTTATACTGTAGGTTTACTGGTATTGTGCCAGGTATCGGGATATTTCTGTCCTTATACTGTAGGTTTACTGGTATTGTGCCAGGTATCGGGATATTTCTGTCCTTATACTGTAGGTTTACTGGTATTGTGCCAGGTATCGGGATATTTCTGTCCTTATACTGTAGGTTTACTGGTATTGTGCCAGGTATCGGGATATTTCTGTCCTTATACTGTAGGTTTACTGGTATTGTGCCAGGTATCGGGATATTTCTGTCCTTATACTGTAGGTTTACTGGTATTGTGCCAGGTATCGGGATATTTCTGTCCTTATACTGTAGGTTTACTGGTATTGTGCCAGGTATCGGGATATTTCTGTCCTTATACTGTAAGTTTACTGGTATTGTGCCTGGTATCAGGATATTTTTGTCCTTATACTGTAGGTTTACTGGTATTGTGCCAGGTATTGGGATATTTCTGTCCTGATACTGTAGGTTTACTGGTATTGTGCCAGGTATCGGGATATTGCTGTCCTTTTACTGTAGGTTTACTGGTATTGTGCCTGGTAATAGGATATTTCCGTCCTTTTACTGTAGGTTTGCTAGTATTGTGCCAGGTATCGGGATATTGCTGTCCGTTTACTGTAGGTTTACTGGTATTGTGCCAGGTATAGGGATATTTCTGTCCTTATTCTGTAGGTTTACTGGTATTGTGCCAGGCATCGGGATATTTCTGTCCTTATACTGTAAGTTTACTGGTATTGTGCCAGGTATTGGTATATTTCTGTCCTGATACTGTAGGTTTACTGGTATTGGGCCAGGTATCGGGATATTGCTGTCCTTTTACTGTAGGTGTACTGGTATTGTGCCAGGTATCGGGATATCTCTGTCCTTATACTGTAGGTTTACTGGTATTGTGCCCGGTATCAGGATATTTCTGTCCTTATACTGTAGGTTTACAGGTATTGTGCCAGGTATCGGGATATTTGTCCTTATACTGTAGGTTTGCTGGTATTGTGCCAGGTATCAGGATATTTCTGACCTTTTACTATAGGTTTACTGGTATTGTGCCAGGTATAGGGATATTTCTGTCCTTATACTGTAGGTATTTCTGTCCTTTTACTGTAGGTTTACTGGTATTGTGCCTGGTAATAGGATATTTCCGTCCTTTTACTGTAGGTTTGCTAGTATTGTGCCAGGGATTAGGATATTTCTGACCTTTTACTATAGGCTTACTGGTATTGTGCCAGGTATCGGGATATCTCTGTCCTTATACTGTAGGTTTACTGGAATTGTGCCAGGTATCGAGATATTTCTGTCCTGATACTGTAGGTTTACTGGAATTGTGCCTGGTAATAGGATATTTCTGTCCTTTTACTGTAGGTTTGCTAGTATTGTGCCAGGTATTAGGATATTTCTGACCTTTTACTATAGGTTTACTGGTATTGTGCCAGGTATCGGGATATTTCTGTCCTTATACTGTAGGTTTACTGGTATTGTGCCTGGTATCAGGATATTTCTGTCCTTATACTGTAGGTTTACTGGAATTGTGCCAGGTATCGAGATATTTCTGTCCTTTTACTATAGGTTTACTGGTATTGTGCCAGGTATCGGGATATTTTTGTCCTTATACTGTAGGTTTAATGGTATTGTGCCAGGTATCGGGATATTGCTGTCCTTATACTGTAGGTTTACTGGTATTGTGCCAGGTAACGGGATATTTCTGTCGTTATACTGTAGGTTTACTGGTATTGTGCCAGGTATCGAGATATTTCTGTCCTGATACTGTAGGTTTACTGGTATTGTGCCTGGTATCGGGATATTTCTGTCCTTATACTGTAGGTTTACTGGTATTGTGCCAGGTATCGGGATATT